ACTAGTCTACAACATCAGGGCATACAGGTAATACACTTGTCTACAACATCAGGTCATACAGGTAATACATTAGTCTACAACATCAGATCATACAGGTTATACACTTGTCTACAACATCAGGTCATACAGGTTATACACTAGTCTATAACATCAGGTTATACAGGTAATACACTAGTCTACAACATCAGGTCATACAGGGAATATACTAGTCTACAACATCAGGTCGTACAGGTAATACACTAGTCTACAACATCAGGTCATACAGGTAATACACCAGTCTACAACATTAGGTCATACAGGTAATACATTAGTTTACAACATCAGATCATACAGGCTATACACTAGTCTACAACATTAGGTCATACAGGTAATACATTAGTTTACAACATCAGATCATACAGGCTATACACTAGTCTACAACATCAGGTCATACAGGTAATACACTTGTCTACAAACCTAATACCATCAGGTCATACAGGTTATACACTAGTCTATAAAATCAGGTCATACAGGTAATACACTAGTCTACAACATCAGGTCATACAGGTAATACACTAGTCTACAACATCAGGTCATACAGGTAAAACACTAGTCTACGACATCAGGTCATACAGGTAAAACACTTGTCTACAAACCTAATACCATCAGGTCATACAGGTAATAAACTAGTCTACAACATCAGGGCATACAGGTTATACACTTGTCTACAACATCAGGTCATACAGGTTATACACTAGTCTATAACATCAGGTCATACAGGTAATACACTAGTCTACAACATCAGGTCATACAGGGAATATACTAGTCTACAACATCAGGTCATACAGGTAATACACTTGTCTACAACATCAGGTCATACAGGTAATACACTTGTCTACAACATCAGGTCATACAGGTAATACACCAGTCTACAACATCAGGTCATACAGGTAATACATTAGTTTACAACATCAGATCATACAGGTTATACACTAGTCTATAACATCAGGTCATACAGGTAATACACTTGTCTACAAACCTAATACCATCAGGTCATACAGGTTATACACTAGTCTATAACATCAGGTCATACAGGTAATACACTTGTCTACAACATCAGGGCATACAGGTAATACACTTGTCTACAACATCAGGTCATACAGGTAATACACCAGTCTACAACATCAGGTCATACAGGTAATACATTAGTTTACAACATCAGATCAGACAGGTTATACACTAGTCTATAACATCAGGTCATACAGGTAATACACTAGTCTACAACATCAGGTCATACAGGTTATACACTAGTCTTCAAACTTAATACCATCAGGTAATACAAGTAATACACTAGTCTGCAAACTTAATACCATCAGGTCATACAGGTAAGACACTAGTCTACAACATCAGGTCATACAGTNGCAGTGGTCACACACACCACAATAGACACACAGACTCTGCTCCAGCTTACAGTTACATAGTCTGCAAAACAAGCATATATTTATTTGTTTATATCTATTTCAGATAAAAGATGTAAAAACAGGAGAATTACCAATCAGTAGATCATCAAAGATAAATCAGAGATATTCCTTACCTACTGGAGATCACTGGCTTGAGGTTCTCAGGGCAGTGGATACCCCTCAGACAACAGTTGTTACATAGAAAGCAGCGAGGTGAGACGGTCAGTTTCTTGGTAAAGCCTTGTGTCATCATCAACATGTATTTGTGGTTAGGGATGTGGTCAGTCCAGCTCAGACCTATAGATCATACAGGTAATACACTAGTCTACAACATCAGGTCATACAGGTAATACACTTGTCTACAACATCAGGTCGTACAGGTAATACATTAGTCTACAAACCTAATACCATCAGGTCATACAGGTAATACACTAGTTTACAACATCAGGTCATACAGGTAATACACTAGTCTACACATCAGGTCGTACAGGCAATACACTAGTCTACAACATCAGGTCATACAGGTAATACACTAGTCTATGCTAATATCATCAGGTCATACAGGTAATATATTAGATTCGGCTAACACCATTAGGTCATACATACAGTACATGTCTCACACAATCATCTTTATATATATANTACAACATCAGGTCATACAGGTAAAACACTAGTCTACGACATCAGGTCATACAGGTAATACACTTGTCTACAAACCTAATACCATCAGGTCATACAGGTAATACACTAGTTTACAACATCAGGTCATACAGGTAATACACTAGTCTACAACATCAGGTCATACAGGTAATACACTGGTCTACAACATCAGGTCGTACAGGTAATACACTAGTCTACAACATCAGGTCATACAGGTAATACACTTGTCTACAACATCAGGTCATACAGGTAATACACTTGTCTACAACATCAGGTCGTACAGGTAATACATTAGTCTACAAACCTAATACCATCAGGTCATACAGGTAATACACTAGTTTACAACATCAGGTCATACAGGTAATACACTAGTCTACAACATCAGGTCATACAGGTAATACACTAGTCTATGCTAATATCATCAGGTCATACAGGTAATATATTAGATTCGGCTAACACCATTAGGTCATACATACAGTACATGTCTCACACAATCATCTTTATATATATATGATCAATCCGCCTGAAGAAGCCCTAGAAGGCAGAAAGGCCTAGCGGACGATCTGAAAAAAATATGTTTTTATTCTATATTTTCCTTCGCAAGGACTTATTTATTTATTATCTACTATATATATGTATATATATTATAAAAAGAAATATTCTCAACAACGAGTCATTAGTACTTTCATCTCTTATAGGAAATTCTTCAGACTGTTTATTTAAAGTATATGTCAAACAGTCTAAAGTGGCATTATGGATCTGTTTTGCCCTGACTTTGTAACTAACCTGGGGGAGATAATGTCTCCTTGGTGATGACTATCCCTGAGCCAGTCTTACTACAAGTGACCGGCCTCTCACTTAGTCTGATGTCCATCTCCTTCACCTGACAACAGTCAGTACTTAGGGCAAGCTTTGGACTCCTGGTTGGATTACAACTCTCACAACAAACACTTTTCTGAAACAACAGATGAAGTTTTACTTTAAAGTGATTCCTATAAGAGACACCATGATATTTATCATTTTTGCACCTCCGACATTAATGTTCAGAAATCATTAGTTTAAAGCTGTACTATAATTTTCTGCAAAGGTAATTTTATAGAGGCTTCACGATGATGTCACAATTAGATGACATCATTGACATCAAATTCATTTTCAGGTTTGACTCCAAATTTTTTAAATAAATTAAAAACTTAGCATTTTAAGGGTCATTTAGGAAATAAATATATTTAATGAGTCATTGATCCTCTATAGCCTAATGAAGGGCCATTAAGATTTAAAAGAGTCTTGGGCTACATGCCTTTGCCCACTATACATATTACTGTTCCTTGGGCCACGCCTTCACCCACTATACATCTTACTGATCCTTGGGCTATGCCTTCGCCCACTATACATATTACTGATCCTTGGGCCACGCCTTCACCCACTATACATCTTACTGATCCTTCGGCTACGTCTTCGCCCACTAAACATCTTTAAATCCTTGGGCTACGCCTTTGCCCACTCAACATCTTACTAAACCCTGGGATACGCCTTCACCCACTATACATCTTACTGATCCTTGGGCTATGCCTTCGCCCACTATACATCTTACTGTTCCTTGGGCCACGCCTTCACCCACTATACATCTTACTGATCCTTGGCCTCTGCCTTCACCCACTATACATCTTACTGATCCTTGGGCTACGCCTTCACCCACTATACATCTTACTGATCCTTGGGCTATGCCTTTGCCCACTATACATCGTACTGTTCCTTGGGCCACGCCTTCATCCACTATACATCTTACTGTTCCTTAGGCCATGCCTTCACCCACTATACATCTTACTGATCCTTGGGCTTCGCCTTCGCCCACTTTACATATTAATCAAGTTAGGCTGTTCATTTATGTACCTACCAGGTAAGTCATTCGATAAAAAATAGAGCAGATTTGTAATGGTTAAAAGGAAAAAAGTAACACTGGAGTTAAGTACCAATAGGTTAGCAATGGTGTATAATCACCCAGTTCTACACTGGCACACTGACAGAAATGTTATTGACAGGAACAATTACCACAGCGAAAATCTTCCTTTTCTGCAACATAGCGTCCAGCATTGTTCTAATATTGTTGAATGTGAGAGCAAGAGTGTTTCGCATGTTGCTGTGCATCACCCGCGCACTGATCACCAGTGCTGGCAAATCTGAAACTACACACAAAAAACAAATTATTTATTGAGATACCTTGAACTAGAAAATTGAACCTATCTTTGAATGAAATTACTGAAAGAGTGGCAGGAAATCAATTCCCGAACTAAAGTCACTGATTGTGGTTAAGTAAGAAACACTTTCTAAAATGACAGTTTTGACAGTGATCAGCTGTCATTGCACATAGTAATCACATACTGAATGTATGATATATTGTGAGCATGTTTACAGACACAATTTGCATATATATGAGACAACTCGAGTTAAGAATGTCATGTAAAACCATTAAAACCATGTTTTTCCGTACAGTAAACAACTGATGAGAGGAGACTAGGTATAAATAGGTTACTGACCCTTACAGGCCATGTTGCTGATCAGCTTCACCAGAACCATGACAGGACCCTGGCGAACCACAAGTCCCGTCCTCCACATCAACAACACTGGGGACATTTCCTGAAGCTTCCTGCGAGAAAGAAAGAAAGAAGAATATTGCACTAGAAACATCACAATTGTATTCTACTCATGTTATACTTGTGATTTAAGAGAAATTCTTTGGACAAGTGATGTCATATAAGAAAACCTTTTGAGTGGAGAATGATGCATACCATATAGAAAACATTAAAACTGATACCAACAGCTCACTTTTAAATACCTTAAAGGTTTAGAAAATAGGCTTTCAATGTCCATAGTAACATCATATCACAATGAGTGTCCATAGTAACAAAAAGAGGCCCTCAGTATCTATAGTAACAGGTGAGTAATGTACAGTATCTTTTGTAACAAAAAGTGACCCAATCAGTATAAGCTATAATAACAAGGAGTGACCTTCAGTATCTAAAGTAACATGGAGTGGCCCTTACTGTCTGTAGTAGCATGGATTGAAACGCCCCCTCCCCCCCCCCCAAAAAAAATAATTCAGAATCTATAGTAACAAGGATAGACCCATAGTAGTAACAAGGATAGACCCTTAGTATCTATAGTAACAAAGATAGACCCTCAGTATCTATAGTAACAAGGATAGACCCATAGTATCTATAGTAACAAGGATATACCCTCAGTATCTATAGTAACATGGATAGACCCTCAGAATCTATAGTAACAAGGATAGACCCATAGTATCTATAGTAACAAGGATAGACCTTCAGAATCTATAGTAACAAAGATAGACCCCTTAGTATCTAAAGTAAATAAGATAGACCTTCAGAATATATAGTAACAAGGATAGACCCTTAGTATCTATATTAATAAAGATAGACCTTCAGTATATATAGTAAAAAGGATAGACCCTTAGTATCTATAGTAACAAAGATAGATCTTCAGTTTCTATAGTAACAAGGATAGACCTTCAGTATCTATAGAAACAAGGATAGACCCTTAGTATCTATAGTTACATGTATAGACCCTTAGTATATATAGTAACAAGGATAGACCCTTAGTATCTATAGTTACATGTATAGACCCTTAGTATCTATAGTTACATGTATAGACCCTTAGTATATATAGTAAGAAGAAGTGACACTCAGTATCTAAAGTTCATGTACTAATATCCCATAAATATGAGTGATCTCTAACAGTTTCTTTTTTATGTTATTTGTGGTCCCTGTATTTGATATCTAACTCTGGATTTATAGACAAACCCACAAAGTGCTAATAGAAAACTCCAACAAAAGTATGAGACAGCAGTGATACCTGAGGAAGCAGGGCAGCACCCAGGAAGGCAGGGCTGGAAACGTCATGTACGAATCTCTCTGTTCTTCTCCCTCTAATAAATCTGTTGGCCATACTTTGTCCTATATAAAACGTAGCAATAATCAATAGCATCATATAACAATGCATTTCAAAAAGCACCTCCTCAAACAACATACAATGAAAAATTCTTTCTCATCAGATTTCGACTAATCTAATCCCAATCATCTCCTTTAGGAGACCTCTCCTGTCCACCATACAGGAACTAAAGGATTCCATAATCTTCTGAAAACATAACATGCAGGATCAGGAAGAAAAGAGAAGAGGGTAAAACTCCCTAAAGTGATTCTTAATGTCAAACATTACTTACCAAGGGTAGGGAAGGGCTGCCGGGTAGGTAAACATTACTTACCAAGGGTAGGTAAGGGCTGCCAGGTAGGTAAACATTACTTACCCAGGGTAGGTAAGGGCTGTCCGGTAGGTAAACATTACTTACCAAGGGTAGGGAAGGGCTGCCGGGTAGGTAAACATTACTAACCCAGGGTAGGTAAGGGCTGTCCGGTAGGTACCAAGGGTAGGTAAGGGCTGTGAGGTAGGTAAACATTACTTACCAAGGGTAGGTAAGGGCTGTCAGGTAAGTAAACATTAATAACCAATGGTAGGTAAGGGCTGTCAGGTAGGTAAACATTACTTACCAAGGGTAGGTAAGGGCTGTCCAGTAGGTAAACATTACTTACCAAAGGTAGGTAAGGGTTGTCCGGTAGGTAAACATTACTTACCAAGGGTAGGTAAGGGCTGTCAGGTAGGTCCTGTGTCAACACATACAGGACTGTGTCTGTAAATTCAGGATTGCTGAGGGAGCATGGAAATTGAAACAGCAATCCCTGTTTTTTCAGCACACTTAGAAGGAGATTATCATGTTTCTGGAAAATAAACAAAATACGGTAAGAAACTATAGATAGTTCACCACACAAGTCTTACTCAAAATGCAAACTTACTGTGTTTCATACATTGTGATTGCATGAGGATGTCAAACTTTTTTGGAAGGTGAAATGCACGTTAAATAGGAATAAAAATTCCATTTATTGTAGATATAATATTGGCCTTCTTTTAGTTTTTAGTTAAGGACTGAACTAATAAGTATTGAAGAGAATGAAAAACTGCAACAACACAGTTAATGTAATTGGAATGATTCTACATCAAAGAACAGTAGTAAACTAGAAACCACATTCCACACTAGACTAGTGCTAGACTAAAGAGGGAACACATTCCACACAAGACTAGTGCTAGACGAAAGAGGGAACACATTCCACACTAGACTAGTGCTAGACTAAAGAGGGAACACATTCCACACAAGACTAGTGCTAGACTTAAGAGGGAACACATTCCACACTAGACTAGTGCTAGACTAAAGAGGGAACACATTCCACACAAGACTAGTGCTAGACTAAAGAGGGAACACATTCCACACTAGACTAGTGCTAGACTAAAGAGGGAACATATTCTACACTTAGTAGCAGACAGAGAGGCAAAAGAGAATCCTATTGTGGAAAAATCTATCCACGATTCCATTGAATTATTGCAAATATAGGTTCCAATGTTGCATACCCCGATGGTTTCATTCAGAGAACTAAGGTCATCTTTCCTCCAGCAGGGCACATCCGGTCCTAGCCCCTGTATATAGGCACGGTGAGGGGCTTTTCCTGTCAGATTGGCAACAGTGGGGAGAGCAGTGATGTCAGGCATAGTAGGTTTCTTGGCAACATGAGGAAAGAACACACAGGAACCCTGCAAACAATACAAAGTAAATCAAAAGCATATACAACAGGTTATCTCCAAATTACAGCTGATCTCTACAGAAAGCAACATTTATCTATTTTAAAACAATCTAATTCACTTTTTACCAACTTATATTAATTTGTATAATTGGTAAAGATGGAAGCAAGCTGGGAGTCTTAATAAAAGTGGAAACCAGAGTGCCCAGAGAGAACTCCATTGTGGTCAGGCAAGGGGTCTTATTTCTTTTCACATCTTCTGGATTCAAACCCAGCCATCTTGGTGAAAAGTAAATTAGGCTAGTTATCTAATATGCCACCACCAGACCACTCCACAGTCAATCACTAAATACAATAATCAATCACTAAATACAACAATCAATCACTAAATACAATAATCAATCACTACATACAATAATCAAACACTACATACAATAATCAAACACTAAATTTAACAATCAAATAATAAATTTAGCCAATCACTATATTCAAATTAAACTAATGTAGCAATATTTTGTAGATTTAACCACTGAAGCATTGTTGTGATCATTAGACACTTACTCATGTACTGTCAAATGTGTTAATACTGTTAACATTACTTACTCATGTACTGTCAAATGTGTTAATACTGTTAACATTACTTACTCGTGTACTGTCTAATGTGTTAATACTGCTAACATTACTTACTCATGTACTGTCTAATGTGTTAATACTGTTAACATTACTTACTCATGTATGTCAAATGTGTTAATACTGTGAACATTACTTACTCATGTACTGTCAAATGTGTTAATACTGTTAACATTTACTAACACATGTACTGTCAAATGTGGTAATACTGTTAACATTACTTACACATGTACTGTCAAATGTGTTAATACTGTTAACATTACTTACTCATGTACTGTCAAATGTGTTAATACTGTTTACATTACTTACTCATGTACTGTCTAATGTGTTAATACTGTTAACATTACTTACACATGTACTGTCAAATGTGTTAATACTGTTAACATTACTTACTCATGTACTGTCAAATGTGTCAATACTGTTAACATTACTCATGTACTGTCAAATGTGTTAATACTGTTAGCATTACTTACTTGTGTACTGTCAAATGTGTTAATACTGTTAAAATTATTTACACATGTACTGTCAAATGTGTTAATACTGTTAACATTACTTACTCATGTACTGTCAAATGTGTTAATACTGTTAACATTACTTACTCATGTACTGTCAAATGTGTTAATACTGTTAACATTACTTACTCATGTACTGTCAAATGTGTTAATACTGTTAACATTACTTACTCATGTACTGTCAAATGTGTTAATACTGTTAACATTACTTACTCATGTACTGTCAAATGTGTTAATACTGTTAACATTACTTACTCATGTACTGTCAAATGTGTTAATACTGTTAACATTACTTACTCATGTACTGTCAAATGTGTTAATACTGTTAACATTACTTACTCATGTACTGTCAAATGTGTTAATACTGTTAACATTACTTACTCATGTACTGTCAAATGTGTTAATACTGTTAACATTACTTACTCATGTACTGTCAAATGTGTTAATACTGTTAACATTACTTACTCATGTACTGTCAAATGTGTTAATACTGTTAACATTACTTACTCATGTACTGTCAAATGTGTTAATACTGTTAACATTACTTACTCATGTACTGTCAAATGTGTTAATACTGTTAACATTACTTACTCATGTACTGTCAAATGTGTTAATACTGTTAACATTACTTACTCATGTACTGTCAAATGTGTTAATACTGTTAACATTACTTACTCATGTACTGTCAAATGTGTTAATACTGTTAACATTACTTACTCATGTACTGTCAAATGTGTTAATACTGTTAACATTACTTACTCATGTACTGTCAAATGTGTTAATACTGTTAACATTACTTACTCATGTACTGTCAAATGTGTTAATACTGTTAACATTACTTACTCATGTACTGTCAAATGTGTTAATACTGTTAACATTACTTACTCATGTACTGTCAAATGTGTTAATACTGTTAACATTACTTACTCATGTACTGTCAAATGTGTTAATACTGTTAACATTACTTACTCATGTACTGTCAAATGTGTTAATACTGTTAACATTACTTACTCATGTACTGTCAAATGTGTTAATACTGTTAACATTACTTACTCATGTACTGTCAAATGTGTTAATACTGTTAACATTACTTACTCATGTACTGTCAAATGTGTTAATACTGTTAACATTACTTACACATGTACTGTCAAATGTGTTAATACTGTTAACATTACTTACTCGTGTACTGTCAAATGTGTTAATACTGTTAACATTACTCATGTACTGTCAAATGTGTTATAACTGTTAACATTACTTACTCATGTACTGTCAAATGTGTTAATACTGCTAACATTACTTACTCATGTACTGTCAAATGTGTTAATACTGTTAACAATATTAAGAAAGTTTGTGCTAACATTACTTACTCTGTCATGTAGAATTTGCACAGCAGCCTCTGTCCCATCATATCTATTAAAGGGGTTGTAGGTCCCCTTTACATCCTCATTCACCTCTGACAGCGGACAGATTAATGGCAAAATGCTGCAAAAGTTTTTGGTCATCATGTCCAAATTTTCAACAGGTCCTTGCATAAAAGTGGACATGTGCCAAGGAAACAGCTTTTCAAGGTTTTTCATGGCAGATACCAAGTAGGAATGCTTCGAGTCCTTAGAGCCCTTAATCTAGGAAAGAGAAACAAAACCATAATTGAAATATTGTGGTATCATATTATAGTGAGACAGTCTTTAATAATTCAACATTAATGCAACAATTCCTAGTGTGGTATCTCTTAACTTTGTAATACACAGACTATTCCTAGTGCAGTATCTCTTAACTTTGTAATACACAGACTATTTCTAGTGTGGTATCTCTTAACTTTGTAATACACAGACTATTCCTAGTATGGTATCTCTTAACTTTGTAATACACAGACTATTCCTAGTGTTGTATCTCTTAACCTTGTAATACAAAGACTATTCCTAGTGTTGTATCTCTTAACTTTGTAATACACAGACTATTTCTAGTGTGGTATCTCTCAACTTTGTAATACACAGACTATTCCTAGTGTGGTATCTCTAAACTTTGTAATGCAAAGACTGTTTCTAGTTTACCTTCTCTAAACCTTGTTATATACTGACTAATTCTGGTGTATTATCACTAAACTATGTAAAATACAGATCATTCTTTGTGTGGTATCTCTAAGCCTTGTAATATAAAGATTACTCCTTGTGTGGTATCTCTTAACCTGGTAATATAAAGATTATTCCTTGTGTGGTATCTCTTAACCATGTAACGTACTGATTGATTCTGGTGTTGTATCTCTAAATCTTGATATAACTGAAAAGTAATCAACAGACTCACCAAGCCTCCAAAGCTTCCCAAGGAGGAAAGCTGCGGGTTCTGATCCTAGTAAAGGGAAACAAGAACAATAATTAAAATGTTGTGGTAAAGGACTGTACAATATTATATTGAGACAGTCATAAATAATTCAACAAATTAACAATTTCTAGTGTGGTATCTCTTAACCTTGTAATACACAAATCCTCCCTTGTGTAGTATCTCTTAACCTTGTAATACACAAATCCTCCCTAGTGTGGTATCTCTTAACTTTGTAACATACAGACTATTTCAGGGTGGTATATCTTAACTTTGTAACATACAGACTATTTCAGGGTGGTATATCTTAACCTTGTAACATACAGACTATTTCAGGGTGGTATATCTTAACTTTGTAACATACAAGACTATTTCAGGGTGGTATCTCTTAACTTTGTAACATACAGACTATTTCAGGGTGGTATATCTTAACTTTGTAACATACAGACTATTTCAGGGTGGTATATCTTAACCTTGTAACATACAGACTATTTCAGGGTGGTATATCTTAACTTTGTAACATACAAGACTATTTCAGGGTGGTATCTCTTAACTTTGTAACATACAGACTATTTCAGGGTGGTATATCTTAACTTTGTAACATACAGACTATTTCAGGGTGGTATCTCTTAACTTTGCAATACACAGACTATTTCTAGTGTGGTATCTCTTAACCTTGTAATAAACAGACTATTTCTAGTGTGGTATCTCTGAACTTTGTAATACATAGACTATTTCTAGTGTAGTATCTCTGAACCTTGTAACATCCTGACTAATTCTAGTGTTATCTCTTAACCTTGAAACATACAGATTTTCTTTGTTTGGTACCTCTAAATGTTGTAGTGGCTGATAAGTAATCAATAGACTTACAATGCTCACGGTAAGGAGGAGTTTAGGGTTAGATATCAATGTATTCAAATTGTCCAACAGTGTCTGACTAAATCCAATCTGCATTTCATCAGCAAATGTGCACTCCGTCAAAGCCCTGGTATCAGTTCCACTAAAGTTTAAAAGGAAAAAGTTGTCATTATTACAACTATGCTTCTTTTACCACTTGATTGAACGATTTTGTTGTTGAGAATTTACCTTTGAATAAGTTTAATGTCATGTGAATAAAAATATAATGCATGTTCTTTTATACCCACCTCGTATTACTTTGCTGCAGGGAGTAAAACATTCTTGGCCTGTGTAACTCATGATAATAGGGTAGAGGACTATGATTCTACCAAATTCTGTTTTTCAAACTTAGAAAGGATATCAGCAAATAATTTCTCTTGTAAATTAAACTGTTTAAATGAGGATGTTCTGGGATGGGAGTCTACAAGTCCAATGACTTGGTTGTGGGGTGGCTGTGGGGTGGTTTTGGGGTGGTTGTAGGGTGGTTGTGGGGTGGTTGTGGGGTGTTGTGGGGTGGTTGGGGGTTGTGTGGTGGTTGTGTGGTGGTTGTGGGTGGTTGTGGGGTGGTTTTGGAGTGTTGTGGGGTGTTTTGGGGTTGTTGTAGGGTGGTTGTGGGGTGGTTTTGGAGTGTTGTGGGGTGGTTGTAGGGTTGTGGGGTGGTTTTGGAGTGTTGTGGGGTGGTTGTGGGGTTGTGGGTTGGTTGTTAGGTGGTTGTGGGGTGGTTGTAGGGTGGTTGTATGGTGGTTGTGGGGTGGTTGTAGGTGGTTGTGGGGTTGTGGGGTGGTTGTTAGGTGGTTGTGGCTGACTACGTCTGTGGAGACTGGTTGTATTTGGTATCACTATTCTTACCTTTTGTATATGATGGAGCCTGACACATAGTTTTTCCAACCTTGGAGAATAGCAACCACTTTCTCCCTTACTTTCTTCAGTGAGCTGTCAGTGGTCAAACTGGCCAACACAAACACATTCTCTGGGTACTGTAACAGAGTAAACAAGGTGGCAAGTACAAATACAGTACTCTATGAGCTTTAATAAAATCCCTTCAGCTCCACAAATCATTGCATGATCTGAAATACTCACAGACAAATTATACCCCAAATCCAAAATGTTCCTATCTCTGACACAAAATCATTTGATGTTAGCATTATTCCATAAAAGTTTGAGCAGAATCTGTGCAGAATCTGTACAAATCAATAAATTGATTGATTTTTTTACACATTCAAAACCAAGAAAACTCTAATACATATGAAATTTTGATATCTAATAGAGGTCTTAGAAATGGAAAGTACACTTACCTGTGCCAGTACTGTGATAATGTGTGAGGCAAGACTGATAGCTGTCTTGTCATCTGATGTGATGAAGGGAAGGATGATGATACAACCGTTACCAAGGACTAGGTTTTCTGTGCCCTACAGAAAATAACAAGCATTGCTATGGTTACCTAGGACAAAGTTCTTGGTGCCCTACAGTAAATACCAGGCAGTGTAATGGTTACCTAGGACAAAGTTATTGGTGCCCTACAGTAAATACCAAGCATTGTAATGGATACCTAGGACAAAGTTCTTGGTGCCCTACAGTAAGTACCAGGCATTGTAATTGTTACCTAGGACAAAGTTCTTGGTGTCCTACAGTAAATACCAGGCATTGTAATTGTTACCTAGGACAAAGTTCTTGGTGTCCTACAGAAAATAACAAGTATTGCAATGGTTACCTAGGACAAAGTTCTTGGTGTCCTACAGTAAATACCAGGCAGTGTAATGGTTACCTAGGAAAAAGTTCTTGGTGCCCTACAGTAAATACCAGGCATTGTAATGGTTACCTAGGACAAAGGTCTTGGTGTCCTACAGAAAATAACAAGCATTGCTATGGTTACCTAGGAAAAAGTTCTTGGTGCCCTACAGAAAATAACAAGCATTGCTATGGTTACCTAGGACAAAGTTCTTGTTGTCCTACAGAAAATAACAAGCATTGCTATGGTTCCCTAGGACAAAGTTCTTGGTGCCCTACAGTAAATACCAGGCATTGTAATGGTTACCTAGGACAAAGTTCTTCGTGCCCTACAGTAAATAACAAGCATTGCTATGGTTACCTAGGAAAAAGTTCTTGGTGTCCTACAGAAAATAACAAGCATTGCTATGGTTACCTAGGACAAAGTTCTTGGTGCCCTACAGTAAATACCAGGCATTGTAATGGTTACCTAGGACAAAGTTCTTGGTGTCCTACAGAAAATAAAATGCCTTGCTATGGTTACCTTGGACAAAGTTCTTGGTGTCCTACAGAAAATAACAAGCTTTGCTATGGTTACCTAGGACAAAGTTCTTGGTGTCCTACAGAAAATAAAATGCATTGCTATGGTTACCTAGGACAAGGTTTTTGTTCATGTAACTTACAAGGAAGTTGGATGAAAACTGTCAGCAAGTTGCCAGAACTAAATCTAACAGACAGACCTAAGTTCACATATTTTAAACTTCATATAACACATATTTTAACATTCATATAAAAGACATGTCAGTATAAATATTAATTATGTACAGTCTAATATTGGATTTTAAGCCTGAGGGAACCCAGTCTAAGATATCAGTGTATCAACAACAACACCTAATTCTGTCAAAAAAATTAGTGAAGGATGGTCCATACGTTTCCTGTGACAACTTCAAACACGTTGAAGAAGTCTGATGTCTCTGTCTCAGCCCTCCAGCCCCTCTGTACAGTGAGGTCGCCGTCCAGTAGTGTTCCAGTGAATAGTCCCAGTCTGTTATCACAGTCTGGACTGTGCAGTACCAGCAACTTGTGGTGGGGGTAGGCAACAAAGTCTTTGTCTTTGTACATCTCTGATAACACATGAGACATCACACGATCATTGTCTTTTTTTAGCTCTAATATAAATGTTTCTCATTCTCAAGTCAGTTGTAAACATGTTAATCTAGCTCACGTTAGTTTGAACATTAACTAACAGTTAACCATGGGACATGTAGAACATCTAGTAACTACAAGTATGTATGATGAAGAGAAGTCAGGCAGTGTACGTTTGGTTTCAAATGATTAAGTTTGCTAACATTTCACAACTCAGGTTTTTCGATAAATCTTGACATAACAGGTTAATGAACATTTTGAGTGGTAACTTACACACCTACCATTTAATGGATGAGCTGAGATAAAAAGGCAACTGTGGTAAATAACATATCTAAATAACTTTAATACAAAGAAATAGGATAAATCCAAGGTGAATCCTCAATACAATGCAAACCCACTCCTTGTCTATCCTTCCTCAATCCTTTTTTCTTCTTTACTGCTTTCAGAATGCTGACCATGTGAAATGCAGATCATTGACATTATATACACACTGAACTTCACAAAGTAGTTGACCAGACCTGATGGGTAGCAATCTCATTGAATTATGTAACCAAATTTGGTGTCAATCAGGAAGTACCAGTATTTGTATTTGACCTCTTGCCATGACCTTGACATTAACAGTATGGAGTGATACATGGCCTTGACCTTTGGGGCCTTGACTTTTGGAATATGGAGTGTACATGGCCTTGACTTTTGGAATATGGAGTGTTACATGACCTTGACCTTTGGCATGTGGAGTGTTACATGACATTGACCTTTGTAATATGGAGTGTTACATGACCTTGACATTTGGAATATGGAGTGTTACATGACCTTGACATTTGGGATATGGAGTGTTACATAACATGAAATGACATGCTCTATAAATATAACACATAAACCTACAAAATTTTAAAATGAAACATTGTGCTGATAAAAAAGTTACCACTTGAAAAAGTAGCCTACCCCTTACCATGGCTATGAAGCTGAGAAATAGACTGAACAAGTTATGTGACATGCAATCTAGTCATGATGTGAACATTTTATTGAAAACCTTGAAGCTGATTAATTAGGCTATGGACCGCAAAGGTGGACAAACTAACCGCTAATTCCCTCGTAACTGCTGTAGGTTTCCTCACTCACAACTTAATGGATAAACCTGCTAGGAGTTGGTAAACATTTTTGGTTTCCTACTTGTGGGTAACACCCTCAACATGATTACATTGGTCAAACTTTGAATTATGACATAAACTCGCAATGCTTTGCCGTCTTCCACTCCAAATTAGATTCATCAGCTTGGTATGAATGATAAAGGCTAAGTTTGTTTTGAACACAAACAGCAATTTTGTTTTTGCGAGCTTTCGAAAAATTATCTTTCCTTTGTCAACAAGCAAAGAGTGTAAATGACTGATGACTCGACTCTAAACCGCTGATACAACTCACTTAGCCACAATGTGCACTGTAATACTGGAGGCAGTCAGAGGGATGGGTAACATGTTTACCTATTCTGCCCCTTCCATTGTGATATCATGATCCATGGCAATAGATTCTCCCTTCAGTTACAGACATAATGGATTTTCCAAGGGAAACATGTGGTTTTAAAATACATTTATCTCAAAAATATTGTTTATTATACTGTTAAAGCAGAGAAGTCGACTTACCGACGAAGGCAGAGTACTTGTCACAACGGTTGTACAAATAGTAGAATGGGGATACCAGAGGGCAGCTTTTGATGGTCACATTGGTCACATAGTCCAGAACTGTAATTAGTTTACAAGTATACGGTACATCATGTATACATCTCAACCTTTATATCCAGTTTACAAGTATATGGTACATCATGTATACATCTCAACCTTTATATCCAGTTTACAAGTATATGGTACATCACGTATACATCTCAACCTTTATATCTAGTTTACAAGTATATGGTACATCATGTATACATCTCAACCTTTATATCTAGTTTACAAGTATATGGTACATCATGTATACATCTCAACCTTTATATCTAGTTTACAAGTATACGGTACATCATGTATACATCTCTACCTTTATATCTAGTTTACAAGTATACAGTACATCTTGTTTACATCTCAACCTTTATATCTAGTTTACAAGTATATGGTACATCATGTATACATTTCAACCTTTATATCTATACAACTTTACCTGCATTGCTATTGACACATTTCATTATTCAGATGCATTTTTATCTGCGTGGAAGTCGACTCATTTCAATATTTTCATCAAACTTTACCTGTCTGGTCATTGACTCAGTTTTTGCAATCGTAATACACACTTGCATTAAAGCCAGTGACTCATTCCGACATCCATATAGTACTTTACCTGGTAATTGACCAGGGAAGAATGCACAAGATGTAGCAGTCATGTCGATTTCCTCCCTGAATTTGTCTTTCTCCACCAATCTGTAAATGCTTCTGTGTGTCAGCTGTTTACAGCCTTTAAGTACAATCTGAAAGTTTACATGTACAAGTATCAGTAACACCATATACCTCTATCAGTACCAGTATCAGTAGCACCATATACCTCTATCTGTACCAGTATCAGTAACACATTACATATACCTCTATCAGTATCAATAACACGATATACCTCTATCTGTACCAGTATCAGTAACAACATATACCTCTTTCAGTACCAGTATCAGTAACACCATATACCTCTATCTGTACCAGTATCAGTAACACCATATACCTCTATCATTACCAGTATCAGTAACACATTACATATACCTCTATCAGTATCAATAACACGATATACCTCTATCTGTACCAGTATCAGTAACAACATATACCTCTTTCAGTACCAGTATCAGTAACACCATATACCTCTATCATTACCAGTATCAGTAACACATTACATATACCTCTATCAGTACCAGTATCAGTAACACCATATGCCTCTATCTGTACCAGTATCAGTAACACCATATACCTTTATCAGTACCAGTATCAGTAACACCATATACCTCTATCATTACCAGTATCAGTAACACCATATACCTCTATCATTACCAGTATCAGTAACACCATATACCTCTATCATTACCAGTATCAGTAACACATTACATATACCTCTATCAGTACCAGTATCAGTAACACATTACATATACCTCTATCAGTACCAGTATCAGTAACACTATCTGTACCAGTATCAGTAACACATTACATATACCTCTATCTCTACCAGTATCAGTAACACCATATACCTCTATCTGTATCAGCATCAGTAACACCATATACCTCTATCAGTACCAGTATCAGTAGCACCATATACCTCTATCTGTACCAGTATCAGTAAAACCATATACCTCTATCAGTACCAGTATCAGTAAAACCATATACCTCTATCAGTACCAGTATCAGTAAAACCATATACCTCTATCAGTACCAGTATCAGTAACACCATATTATACCTCTTTCAGTACCAGTATCAGTAACACCATATACCTCTATCATTACCAGTATCAGTAACACATTACATATACCTCTATCAGTATCAATAACACGATATACCTCTATCTGTACCAGTATCAGTAACACCATATACCTCTATCTGTATCAGCATCAGTAACACCATATACCTCTATCAGTACCAGTATCAGTAACACATTACATATACCTCTATCTGTACCAGTATCAAAAGTTAGACTTATCAGCAGACTTTCACATCTATAGCAACAATGGCAGACAGACTTTTGCCACCACCGGAAGCTGTGGTAAATAATCAGCAAGAAATGAAGGACAGCTTAGCTGATGACAATGTTTAAGCATATAAATATTGCTTTATAAAAATTGGTTGATTAAAACTGCATTATTACCTGTCATTTTCTGTATTGGCCTATATTATTGGTCACCGGGCAGCCATATTGGTGAGATAAAACTACAGTATGTGGTGATAGTTATGACTAGTATATACCTAACTGTCTGCTTATCATTCAAATATTTCTATTTGTCTACTAAATCATAATTATTATTCACTGATATTTGGAAGATATAATATCACATTGTATGACACCATGACGATGTTTCCAGAACAGAACAAAGAAACCCCAGATTGCTGATGTTCTACAATCTATGAGGTCCATAAACCCTTAGGACTTCCTTCATCTTTTGGTTGTGGAGACCAATAATTAAATCAACTCTAAAGTACAATCATAAATGTCAAAGTTCATGAAAATAATAATTTGCAAACAAGCAGTCATATTTCCTAATGCAGGGTTAACAATTCCAATAGTTAGTAGTCAATGTTGATTTGCTTACATTCTCCATTTCCAAAATTTCAGTTTCTGAAAGCCAACGTATTCCTTCATCTGTGATGTTACAGCAACCTGACAAAAAAGTTACTTTGTATTCAAAATAATGTATAGTATGTGACCTGTGGCATGATAGTATCCAACAATAAGTAAACTGATACAAGGACAATAACTTCTCATCATAAAAAAAACTTATTTGACCTATTTCCTTTTGCTCCCATTAAAATGTACTGACCAGTAAGTCTGTGGGTCTACACTGCCCAACTCCCATCAATGTTCACTGACCAGTAAGAGTGAGGGTCTGGGCTGCTCCCCTCTCTTCAATGTTCACTGACCAGTAAGAGTGAGGGTCTGTACTGCCCCCCTTCCTTCAAAGTTCACTGTACTATCCCCTCCCTCAATGTTTACTGACCAGTAAGACTGAGGGTCTGTACTACTCCCTCCCTTCAATGTTTACTGGCCAGTAAGACTGAGGGTCTGTACTACTCCCTCCCTTCAATGTTTACTAGCCAGTGAGAGTGAGGGTCTGTACTGCCCCCCTTCCTTCAATGTTTACTGGCCAGTAAGACTGAGGGTCTGTACTACTCCCTCCCTTCAATGTTTACTGGCCAGTAAGCGTGAGGGTCTGTACTGCCCCCCTCTCAATCTTTACCGTTGAGTAAGTATTAGGTCTGTACTACCCTCTCCCCGATGTTACTAACCAGAAAGATTAAGGTTTTCTAAGAAGTGCATTGCCATGCCCTTCTCATTTCGCTTCAACACCAGGAGAAAGGTATCTGTTATCTGTTCCACACCAGAGAAGTTCAGAGATACCACCGATGACCACTTGTCCTCTTGTAATTGTTTCTGAAAAATAATGTAGACAACTGTAAACTATCATTGCTCAAAGAACCCAAACGACTGTATTATCACATATAGTCTATTACATAGTGTACAACATTGCTCATATCAAGGTATTACTTCCAAGTTTGTAGAATATTCCAACTAAAAAAGGCAACTAGCTCTGCTGTAAAATTCTGGGGAATATTTACACAACTCAACACGATGATGATCAATAATGCATACAAAGCCACAAGAAAATCTGACAGAAATTTATAAGTGGTCTGAAGAAAATTGTGTCCAGTGGTCTAACTAGGCTGACACATAATCAAATATGCTTAATCATTACCCTCCTCTTTTCTTAGGCCTTCAGTGCTGAAGTACCTTGTAGTCCTACACACAGTTGAATTCCAGCTGTATACATACAGGAGAATGCATGGGCCGATTCTAGGGTATCCCCTCCTCTGAGAGGTATCAACTCCAGCTGTATACATACAGGAGAATGCATGGGCCGATTCTAGGGTATCCCCTCCTCTGAGAGGTATCAACTCCAGCTGTATACATACAGGAGAATGCATGGACCGATTCTAGGGTATCCCCTCCTCAGAGAGGTATCAACTCCAGCTGTATACATACAGGAGAATGTATGGGCCGATTCTAGGGTATCCCCTCCTCTGAGAGGTATCAACTCCAGCTGTATACATACAGGAGAATGTATGGACCGATTCTAGGGTATCCCCCTCCGAGAGGTATCACAAATGATATAGATACAGGTACGTAACAGTAAGCAAGAACATTCAATATATTAGAGTTGTATCATATATCACCTGTATCATCTATTACCTGTATCATCAATCATGTGTATCTGTCACTTGTTTCTACTATCCATATCTATTACCTGTATAATCAATCACCTGTATCAAATATCACCTGTATCTACCATTTGTATCCATCACCTGTAGCTTCTTTCTTAATAGCTATCACCTGTATCTATCACCATATCGTCTAACAGCTGATCATCTATCAACTGATCATCTATCACCTGTACCTATCACCTGTATCTATCATTTATAGCATCTAAATCACCTGAATCTATCACCTGTATTATCTATCATCTGTAGCATTTATCACCTGTATTATCACCAGTAGTATTTATCACCTGTATCATCTTTCACCTGTATATATCACCTGAAGCATCTAGCATCTGTATCTATCACCTGTATCATCTATCATCTGTATCAATCACCTGCAACATTTATCACCTGTCTCTATCACCTGTAGCATCTAAATCACCTGAATCTATCACCTGTATCATCTATCATCTGTAGCATTTAGCACCTGTATCTCTAACTAGTAGCATCTATATAACCTGAATATATCACCTGTATCATCTATTATCTGTAGCATTTAGCACCTGTATCTCTAACTAGTAGCATCTATCACCATTAGCTACCACCTGTATCATCTTTAATCTGTATCATCTATCACCAGCATTCGCTATCACCTGAATCGTCTATCAGCTATCAGCTGAATTATCAATCACCTGTGTCTAAATCTATATCTCTGCTTCATCCATTGACTATATAATAACTATCAACAACTGAACAATTGAATTAAAAAAATGTGATGATGAATTAAAAAAAATTAAAAAGATTAACCACTCACAATAACTGGTGATATATCCAGACGTTTCTCATTGTTGAACTTGTCTACCAGGTCCTTTCTTTGAGGGCTCTCTGGATCAGCTAAATATGAAAGCATGACATGATTTATGGTTATTTTTGCAAGTCCTTTGTTGATATTATCACAGCTCTGTAATTATAAGTTCAAAACATAACAGTTATCTGTATTATATTTCAGGTACATACAAGCTGTTCAAAATTAATGTTGGTATATTATGTTCTTATATATACTATATGAGTGTTAATTTCTTATAAAATAAATTACCATGACCTCAATAGGTTCCCCATGGTTATAAAGAAATAGCTGGTTCTTTCAACAGTGGTCAAGTCTAGATTCAAATGTTCGAACAGTTTGTGACATTACAACCTACGATGGCCAATTGTTTCATATGTTCAGGGTTCAGCATAGGAAGGAAAGTTTCAAGATGTTAAGGCGCACTCTTTGTTTATAACTATAATTTCAGTTCATGTCCCCTCGTGGTGATGGTACTACTGAAAGGTGAAATGAATGTAGACACCTCAGGATCATATTTCACTGTCGTGATTTTGAATAGCTCTATCATATGTCTCCCCTGGCTCTTCTATAGGCCAAAGTTGGCAGTTTCAGATGTTGCAGTCTTTCTGGGTAAAATATATGAGCCATTCCTGATAAAAGCTTTGTAGCTCTCCTTTGTACATTTTCTATCGATTCTACGTGTTTGATCAGATGGGGAATCAAGACCTGGTTAGCATACCCAAGATGTGGTCTTACTAGTGGTGGGGTTTCGGTCTGATTTTGAAGATCGATTATCGGACATTCAAGATCGATCAGTAATCGATTATCGGTTGAAATAAGCGCCAAAAAGAATACATTTAATAAATTGAAATTTTGTCCAATCATTTCAAAATATCGATTTAACTACGTGTTATTTTGCTAACAACTTTATCTAAGAGACGTTCATATGATGAGAAAAGGTACTTCAGATATTGACAATGACCGGTAGATTACCGTTTTAGAAGTGAACGTACCTTTTCCCATCTCCTGCAGACGAGTCATGATGTAACACAAACAAATCAGTTTATGCATTTTGAGTTAAAATTTAACCATACCTACAAAACACCGCACTGACCTTGATTACGTAATGGCACTATAGCTACCATGCTTGAATGCCGGCATGATTCAAGTGAGAATCAACAAGAACGGGTGAAAGGGACATCTTATTTTGGATTAAACATGAAAAGCAACTGTATATGTATCTTAAGAATTTCAGTTCTACATGACAAACCTACAAAAACTATCTTTTTCATGACAAAGTTTCAAAATCGATCTTTCATGTGCTAAATCGATAATCGAATCGACCTCATGTCAAGCTTGATTTAATCTATGCTTCCGGTTATCGGGACACCACTAGGTCTTACCAGACCTTAATTTGTATAGCACTGTAAATGTAGTGAGATTCATATACTCCCTTGTTCTTTTGAACACCCCCATGATGGAATTGGCTTTGTTTATGAATGATAGTCTATTGTCAATAGTGACTCCAATATCTTTTTCAGTTTCTGTATATGGAAGTTATTTACCATCTTCTAAAATGTATGTGAAGTTGTTGCTGCCATTTTTACCAGTATGCATGGCTTTGCATTTATCTGGATGGAAGAACAGGAGCCACTTGGTGTTGAGTATGGGACAGTAGAATTTGGTATCATCTGCAAATAGGTATATTTTTGTATCCACACTTGTTATATCTGGGAGTTCATTTATGTATAAAACAAATAGAACTGGTCCTAGAACTGATCCTTGCAGAATGCCACTGCTCACTTTCTTTCAGTATGATGCGTCTCCATTTACTGTTACACGTTGTTTGTGATTTAGAAGGAATGACGATTTTATGAATGAGTCGCTGGTGGGGAACTTTGTTGAATGCCTTCATAAAGTCACAATACAGTACATCAATGCAACCCCCTGTATCAAGAATTTCCATCCAGTCATCACTAACTTGGATTAATTGTAGAACGGTGGACCTACTTCGGATGAATCCAAATTGTCTTCTGCTGAATAATTTTATGATTAAGGTTTCGATTACAATTGATTCTAATACTTAACAACATATAAAGGTTAAGCTGATAGGTCTATAATTACTAGCTGATTTGCAGTCTCTTTTTTTGAAAATGTTTGTGAACACTTCAGCTTTTTCCTTATCTGTTGTTGTGACTTGTTTATCTTGTCCGGTATATAAATCTGACTCTTTGGTTTTTGATTGGACATATATATATAGCTCCAAAATGTTTAAGGGTAATGGTTTTTCTGTCACCTGTCACTTTTTCTGATGGGTATTTTACTTGATTTTCTTACAGGGATACACATATCAATGAGAGTTTTTAATCTATCTCAAAAATGTACCCACTGCCAGTTCACATACCCCGCTAGAGGATGTACGTAGTTCTTCAACCTAATTTACAGACATCATTTCTTTCATATGTTCGTAGTTCCCTTTTTCGTACATACATCTCTTCTTTTCCTTTTTTTTCTGTAGTAGAATACACATTCTTCATAAATTGTATGACGAAGTGGAAACTTTTATTCTTTGGAGCTTGAATTTCAATTTCACTGACCATCCCTTCCTCATTTCAGGAGACAAGATCCAGTACATTTGGTCCATTCTGATAGTAGTTTCTATTGCATACAGCTATAGTTGTGTTGCACATGGGCAGAAAGTTTTCTTCTATGCTGTTTGGGCTTCTGTATATGCTTCATATTAGGAGCATTTTATCTGCAAAATAATCCCTATATTGCATTGTAGATATTTCAAGGAGTTGTGAATGTACACAAGCATGCCTCTACCAGGTGTTTCTTTAAACAGGTTAACGGGTATAGTTTCCAAGTTGTATTCACTCAGTACACTATTATGTCTCTTTGAAGGATTTGGGTTTAACTTCCTGTAAAACTAGATGTAACTCAAAGGGGGGCTTTCATGAATACCCCCGCTTTGATTGATCAGGAATTGGTGGAAGTGATGGGCATGTGGATTGGAAGAATCAAGTGAAGAGTTTATATGCTGCGACTTTAACGTTACGTAGGTCAGAGGTCAAGGTAGAGGTCACAGTGACCTACATATGCGACACACCACCTTCCATGCATGTACCCACAAACCAAGATTCATAACCGTAGGTGAAATATACGGGAGATATGCTCCGGAAACCTTTCCCACGACATTATGTAGGTCAGAGGTCATGGTAGAGGTCACTGTGACCTACATATGCGACACACCACCTTCCATGCATGTACCCACAAACCAAGATTCATAACCGTAGGTGAAATAGTACGGGAGATATGCTCCGGAAACCTTTCCCACGACATTATGTAGGTCAGAGGTCATGGTAGAGGTCACTGTGCCCTACATATGCGACACACCACCTTCCATGCATGTACCCACTAACCAAGATTCATAACCGTAGGTGAAATATACGGGAGATATGCTCCGGAAACCTTTCCCACGACATTATGTAGGTCAGAGGTCATGGTAGAGGTCACTGTGACCTACATATGGAACGTGACACACAGCCTTCCATGCATGTACCCACAAACCAGGATTCATAACCGTAGGTGAAATAGTACGGGAGACATGCTCTCGAAACCTTTCGGACGGACGGACGGACGGCCACACGGATGGACGAAGCAAACACTATATGTAATTTACTTTGGTAGGAAGTTTGTTTGGTCCTTCAATGTTCTTTCTTTTTTTAGTTCTTTTGTTCACTATTGGTTCTACTCTGTTCAGCGTTGTTTTCCATGAATTTGTACTGTTTATCACTGCCCAGTGTCCAGTGTCCAGAACTATAAATGCTTTGGTTTATTGATCATTAAAAAGAGTATTACATTAACTGAATTAAAAGTCCTGTAATATAACATGGCTTTACTAATTTAGAAACGTTTTATGTCATTATTCCCATACCTGTTTGTTTACGAGCAGTCTGCTTTGTTCTTGCCATGATGATAGGTTCTGTAAAATAAATAAAGATGTTTACTAGTAAATTGTCAGCATTTTTTCCTTTTCTCTTACATGCACAGTCAGACCAGGGTTCTTACTTGGGACCCTCCGAACTCTAGACAGACGTACGCTTTACCAATTGAGCTACCTAATGGTCGTTGACAATCGACCCAGTCAAGTTCTACAACGTCAATGTTTGAAGCATTTTCTTACAGTTTTCACGACAATAGTGACTACATAGATATTTGGGTAGAACATGTACATGTAATTTTGTTTTCTTATTTGTCATATTCAAGGCTGCATGTGCATGCATGTACACAAAAATGTCACCAAGTTCAACTAAAAACAATAAAATGTTTAACAGTTCCTTTAATGGTAGTTTACGTTGTTTTTCATACATGCTTACGAAACTGCTTTCATCCTTTTTTCGTTTTGAGGAAAAATTATGAGCCCACAACAAAATTCTACACTGATTATAAGAATTGCTTTGGAATTATGAGATAGACTAACCTGTTTAAAATACGTAATAAAAGTTGAAAAACACTCTTTTAAAGTAATATAAATATGCATATATATGTATTTCAAAGGAAATCCTAGATGTACTCATCCTGTGCTCCAATGGTTGGATACACTGCATGTATTTGTCAAAGCATTGGCGAGTTCGCTCGCCTACTTTCATTTTCCCCCTAGCCGAGTTCACTGGTTGAATGAGTATATAAATGTTCATATATGATGAGAAATGTGTTCATATGTTGATCAGCAACCCCATTGATGTGGCAAGTGGGTGGCATATCGGTGTCTGGAGAGGCCTGTTACTGGAGAGTGGGCAAACTTACGTTACAGCAAACTGCTGATTACCGTAGCTAAGACGCCATTGTTGTAAATACTCCACGGAAAGCGTAAGAGTTAATTCCCCTTAATGATTAAAAACTGTAGAAGTATATAAAGGCTATATGTTATTGCGGTAGTATACGTCTCTGGTGTCATTTAATATGACTTAATATGATACATTATGGACGCAGGCTACAAGCCTCTATATCCATATCAGTAAATACAACAAAATTTACATTAAATATACTTCAAGTGTCAATTGAACAGTTTTTAAAACTAAAAATTAAAAGTTATATTTTCACGTTTACAGTAGGCCTACTCATCTAAACCAATTTCAAACTGTATAACATTAGATGAATCAATGCCATCCTGTGGAAGACTGTTCCATATATCAACAACACGGAAAGTAAAGATGTGTTTCCTTATTTCAAGGTGACAGTGTTTTTTAAAAAGTTTGTAAGAATGTCCTCTTGTTCTTCTACTAGCCTAATATCCCACTGAAACATGCTTTCAGTCACTAGATAGGATCATAAAATTTTTCACAATCTTAAAGACATTTATTAAGTCTCCTCGCATCCGACGGAGCTTTAAGGTTGGTAGATTTTATCTCTGCAGACGCTCTGTATACGTCATGTTACTAAATCCAGGTATGATCTTGGTAGCTCGTCTCTGGACGTTTTCATCTAAATCAATATCCTTGCTCCATACACTACAGGCATATTCTAAGTGTGGTCTAACAAGCGCATTAAATAAAACTTTGAACATATTTTCATCCAGATAAATGAATGTTCTTCTAATAAGGCCAACAGTACTGTTAGCGTTGTTTACATTTAACTGAACACACGTTATGCTCTCCAGTTCTATTCTCTCTCCCGATGCTCAAATAGTATTTTCTATCTTGTTTGTTTTTAGATTTAATTGAAAGTACTTTGCACTTGTTTGGATGGAATTTGAGAAGCCATTTCGCAGACCATTCCTGGAGTTTGTTGAGATATTTCTGCAGAGTCTCCGTATCCAGAATTCTCATTATTTCTCTGTATAATTTGGTGTCGTTGGCGAACTGGGGAGATGGCGAATCTGTTATTTCGGCAAATCATTAATGGAGATGACGAATAAAATGGGTCGTAAAACACTTCCTTGTGGTGTCCCACTGACTACTGGGTATATATCTGAAGACTCTCCATTTATTACTACTTTCTGTGTACTGTTTTTTAAAAAGTTTTCTACCCGCGTTTTTATTTGGTGATGGATGCTGTATCCTTGAAGCTTCTTTATAAGTCGCCGATGGGGTACCTTGTCAAAAGCTTTCATAAAATCAAGGTAAATGACATCTAATTGACCAACTTTATCTATAATTTGAGTCAGTTCTTCTAAAACTGTGAGGAGTTGAAGCTGTGTCGATCTTCCATAGAGAAAACCAAACTGCCTGTTGCTGAAGAGATTATTTCTGTCCATGTGGTTGACAATTTTATCCCTCAACAGTTTTCTAGAGTTTCCCTACAACACTGGTTAAACTAACAGGTCTGTAGTTTCCTGCTTCTGATTTTGGCACCTTTTTTGAAGATAACAGTGATGTTGGCTTCTTTCCGCTGTTGTGGTAATTTACCCCCAGAAAGTGATTTATTAAAAATATCTGATAATGTTTCTAAACATTTTCTTCATGTTGGTAAGTTCTCATGATATCTGATAATGGTTTACTGATATTTTTCCTCAATTCTTTTAAAACTTTTGGGTGTAACATATCCGGTCCCTGCGATTTATTCTCATTGAGATCTTTTAAAAGTTTTTCAACTGTTTCCTCCGTGCAGATAATGTCTTCACATTGGATATAAATATTTCTTTTCTTAAATTCCCACTAGGCTCTTGTGTGAAAACGCTGCTGAAGAATCTTGCTAAAACCTCTGTTTTGTCCCTATCATTAACTGCAATCCGTTGTTCATCTCCATTTAAACCTTTGAGATCTGATATTCCTGTTTTAACCTTTGAATCTGATATTCCTGTTTTAACCTTTGAGATCTGATATTCCTGTTTTAACCTTTCTCTTCGATTTGACATATTTCCTAAATTTCTTGGGTTGCTGTTTAATGTCCTCTGCAATCTTTTTTTCACGTTCTCTCTTTGATTTTCGTATTTCCCACTTCAGCTGATTTTGGATCCGTGTATACTCTTACAATTTTTCCTCACTTTTAGTTTCCACATATCTTTGCCATGTTCTGTGTTTTTTATTTATTTTACTCAAAACTGAATCTTTCAACGGTATGTTATCTGATTTTACATTCTGTGCTTTCCTCTTTGGAATGAATTTGTCTTTAGTAGTTTCAATAAGATCTATAAATATGCTATACATGTCTTGTACATCTCCTTGTAGAACTGTGGACCAATCTTTTGGTAAGTCTTTTAACATACTTGTATACATACCCTATGCTGTATTTGAATCGTGGTGCCGTGTTGGTAGGTTTTTTGGTTTCACAAAAATAGTAAAACCTGAATTAGGACTAAATGATCGCTGCCTCCTACGGGACTTTGGTATGACACGTTTTTCACCATTTCCTCTTCGTTTGTGATAGCAGGATCCAGTATACTGGGTTCATTACCTTTTCTTTTTCTTGTGTGTTCTCTCACGTGTTGATACAGGTCACTATCTCCAAGGCGTTCTATAAAACGTTCGCTTTCTTTGTTCCCATTTGTGGTAAGTTATAATCCCCTATTTGTGGTAAGTTATAATCCCCTACTATTAAATTGTATTAATAACTGACTATATGATTTCTGGGCTGCTGCTAACGTGATAAGATTATTCACCTGCAGTATGTTTCCTTCAATTGAATTTGCGTTTTTGTACATACAGCCTACTAAGAGATTATTATTCCCATTCAGTTTAATTTTCATCCAAGTACTTTCTTTAAATTGACTGTCTAAATTTACTTCAGTTGCCTCAAGACCTTCCTTTACATACAGACATACTCCTCTGTGGTGATTTTCTGTGTTCCCGTTCACAAACTGATTATAACCTGGGATCATAAACTCTGCCTTATTCGGTAAGTATCTGCTGTTTTTAGGGTATATTTCGGTTACTGCTATAATGTCGATATTGTCCAACTGTGTAATTCTAAATTTCAGTTCCTCTAGTTTATTAACTAGATGTTTAATAACATGATTTTTTTATGTAGCAAACATTAAATATTAGCTCTGTAAAACTGATTTTACCATAGAGTAATAGAATTTAGTAACAAATAACGCCGGTCAAGTTACATGTGTAATCACATTACAACAACACAATACATATTATATCCGTATGTTCCTTGGCTGCTACATATTATCATAGTGCTGTGTCCAGCTATGCGGTACAACCATTAACGTCGAACGTGGACAGTAGCTGGACATTTGGTGGGAATCTGGTGTAGGCCAGTGAAAGTCCATTGGTATATCGGGAAGACCAAAATATATATCGTTAAGTAACTGTCTCTGATAACAAATACCAGAGACGTATAATACAGAGATTGGCAACTTGCTCTTGGCCTTGTATTATACGTCTCTGCAAATACCATGCTGCAAAATTCTTTAACAGTTAAATTCTGTTGGGGGTGGGGATGGCGGGCTTTTCTACTTGCGGGTTTAAAAAGAAATAAATTAATTGAATGATTTTGTGAAGGGGAGAAGTCAATCTGATGTTTTACTCTTTTTTTATTAGCCCAACAAGCATACTTGTGCCCTCCATATATCCCTCCCATTCGAAAAGTTTGAAGGCGGGTCAGTGCCCCCATCCCAACTCAAGTAAATTTTATTTTACGTCGATATGATTACAAAGATAAACACAAGCTCGTTTAGTGAGCTTTTACAATCGACATAACAAATAAAACATACATAAAACAAGGTTTCATTAATTAAACAAGATTTGTTCATGCTGTAAAAGATACAAATAGAGAGGAAGCATCCAATAAAACATTTAATTTTAAATAAATAATAATAATAATAATATTAATGCGGTAAAAGAGGCAAGTTACATTTATCAAATTTTGAGTTGAATTTATTATTTGATCACATTTGCTTATAATTTGATTTGAGATGAAGGAAAGATATAAAAGAACTTGAGAAAAGATAGTACAGTGGCACATGGTCATCTCCAAGGGTTGGAGAGCCCCCTACCAGCATGGTATGCTCGACCTGCACCCCAGTAAATCAGGATTTGTTATTCTTATTTTCTTATAAAAGGTCATATATTCAACATAATCACAGATAAATTTAGAAACATATCACATGCATAAAAATTTTGGAAACTTAAAATTTTAAGATACATATAAAGAATACTTCATGTCAGTTGTTAAATAATACCACTCCAATAATTTCAGTTACAATCGTTGACCTTTAGGTGTATAATGCACCCCTTCCCATGATTATTGCTGGATTATCATGTCAATTCTAAATTCTTCCCATCAAGATCACTATTTTGGGTTGTGTGACGTTAGGAAACCCCCATTTATTGATTTTTTCGAAACAGACTATACCGCAGAAAATTCTAACCAATCAAAATCGTCGAGACACCAAAATTATGGAACTAACCAACCAGCAAGAAGCCCGCCAAGCGTCGTCCATCGCGTCCATTGCAGGAAGAGGATTTCGAATTGTAAGTAGAAATGGGTCACAAAACCAATATATTTTCATTACTATCTTTACTACACGCAGTTTGATTGAATGCATTGTATCAACATGCTACGTCTTTGATTACCCATGTAATTGGGCTGCGTCCCTCCTACAGGATATTTTAAGATCCCGGTCTCACCCAGTCAAAATGAAAACAAAACGGCAATTGTTCTTGCAAGTCTTTATTATCAATTGTAACGTGCATTCAGACGAAGTCGATTATAAAGAAACTGTATCCGTCTGATGTTGACCGTAATAGTACATTTATTTTCATGTATATATAAAGTATCATGTTCTAAAATATAACCATAACGTTGGTTTCACCTTCCACGTGCCATTGTTTACATCAACACGGATGAAATCCGCTCGGGCACGCAAGCTTGCTGGCTGCATTGTGCAGCAAAACATGTTTAATTAAATGAATTTATCCAAATCATCTTGTGTATTACTTAAGTTAAGTGGCATGATTGTTCAGAAGTTGTTCCAAACAGCAAGGAATTCGATCTCTGAAGTATTGGGATTGTGCGTACTCGATGACTGAAGTGATGGTTTGTTGATTACAAGCCCACAAAGATTATGTCTTTAATATAAAAAAAACAACACAAGTTTTGTGCGAGCCAACGGTAGACCATACACAATTACAATGTATATTGGAGGTTTACGGGAATCGTTTCATCCGTTGACGAAGTTGTCACGTGAATTCATACACGGGTGTTTGAAATTCTGACTGTAAATTGTGATGCATATTCAATGATAATATTACAGCATAAATAGTGCACAAACAGTGTTCAGTTAACTTTCTCTTTCAATGTTTTATTACACAAGTATATATATTTTCAATTTCATGAATAAGTCAAAATAATAATTCAACGTTTTGTTCATCAAAATTTCAGCCAGTCTATTCAAATCTTTATCTCAAATATGGGCCCATATCAAAATTAATATACCTATTTATTGTCTCACTCTGTTGTTTGTAAGTTATAATAGACTGGTGAGCATAATTATTAAAAAAAAAAATCAATGAATTTTTATCCTTTGTGATAAAACTGCCCTTGCAGAGGTATTTCACTGGAATGTTGATACACTTTACCATAAGATGCCCAAAACTTAAATCAAACTATATGAAAATGTTGACATACATGTGATGATGTGCTTTAATGTGAGGTAATACACTATATATACAAAGCAGTTTATTACACTTAAAACAAGTGTAGTGATATTGCAGTTGTTTAAAAAGCTTTATTTGAACAAAAAATGCATTGCACCANAAATTGGTACATATTTCAACAACAAAAATAAATACTGTAGACTCAGGTGACCGTTTAGGCCCATGGGCCTCTTGTTCTTGTCTCTAGATGATATTGTTTATAATTATAATAATACCTAGGTAAAGAATGTTCAAAATTCAAGTCTTTGTCAGTTTGAGTTAAAGTTACAAGTCATTAATACTTTGAAAGATGGAATGGTTGAATAATCTTCCTGAATCAAGTGAATGTTGTAAACCTAACTTGAAAGAGGATGGGACCATGTTTCAACTAAGTTTAATATTAACAAATCTTAAAGAAATGAACCAAAATCATATGTAGTTTTTCACATGTTTGTTTTCTTACATTTAAAACATTAAGTATTTGTGACTTTTGCTGATATATTTGTAAAATGTATGTAGTTTTAACATAATAATGTAATGTTGTGTGTATAATATAAATAGTATATCATATCTCAAAGTTTGGTAAGGTTATATTCTATGCATTCTTTCCTTTGTTAAGAACAATTCTGGTGTGTCAGTATAATGTAATATCTATATAGAACAACACATTCCTTATTCATACACTGAGAGCAATCATGCACTGTTAACAGGGTATTATATTCGTGTATGGTTGGTGATCAATACATCTCGGTATGGTTGATGATCAATACATACATACCAGACTTGGTCTGGTGCTCAAGTCCAAACCAATAACAAAAACACAGGATCCCTATCACCATTGATCAATCTGTTTCAGAAATGTGGTCAATGAGCATTTAAAGAATCACTTGAGAATGATTCTCTTTAGCCTCAATCAGAATATAAAACATTAGGCTGACAGGGTCCTTATGTTCTGCTGTATTATGTGTATAGGTGTCTGAATTATAATTTGTATGTACAGTGTAAGGTTATGTATGTTTAATGTGTAGGTGTGTTAGGTTTTTGGTTATGTACGATTTATGTTACTGTATGTGTTAGTTTAGGATCAGATGTGGGTTTTTTGGTGAATTGTGGGTGTAAAGTTTTTTTTTTTTTAATTAGCAGCAGTAATAATTTACATTGTGTACAATAACAAGCCTTTTATTTTGTACTACGCATAAACAATACACATTTTGAAACCTAGTTTTCTAGAAAAACCAACCTACTTCACTTGTTACAGCCCTGCTTTATAGAATAGTAATTGAAATGCCTTTAATAGTAGTGTGTTATAGGGTGCCACAGTCAAGGTTATCACAACTGTTTAAAGAAGTCTGATAAACAATGAAGCTAATTTACATTGATAAATTGTAGGAGCATTAACAGGGGTTTTGCTAGCTATTCTGGGAAAGGGCACCCGAGCAAGAATTTTCAAAATATCATCAACATTTGTCCAAAAAAAGTGGAAATTTCATCTGTGTTCCCACATTATCAAGGTTGGAGAAAGTAATAATATAAGTTTGGAAAATAAAGCCTGCAATGTGATAAGCAACGATTTTCATCTAGCTGTTTTTTTTTACAATAAAATGTATATCAATAAATAAACATATCAATTTTAAGTTTTTGGTATTCATGTATTTTGAATGCTACTCCATGGACAAGTAGTACTTTGAATGTTGCACATATAACGACTGAAAACTTGTATAAACATGATTTTTAATCTAATTGGGAAAGTAAAGATTGAAATTGGTAAAATACAGGGTAATTTTTCAACTGGGAATGGGTCCCTGTTAGTGTATCGGACCCTATAAATACCTGGCAAAAACCCTGATTCATGTATACCATACACATTTTTTATAAGAATTAAAACATGACAGAGTCAGAGGCTGAATTTTCAGAATTCCCCTTGATCTGCCTCTGCCGTTATATACATGTATGTAATATATACTAGGAGTATTTTTGTATAAAATTGCTTGTGATAGGCAATTTTTTTCTTATTTTTGGACAAGGTATGGGCTATATTGAATAGAAGTCCTTATTAAGCTCATCTGGCCTAGCCATTGTGTTTGGCATTATAGAGTTGTTTTGAAGCTTTTGCAAACTATTCTTGTGACTTCTTGTATATATAATAACAAATTACCCATGTAAAGAACTTGCTGACAAAATCAATTTTATAGGTTCTTTAAAAATTCTGCAAACCTTATGTTCTGTTGTTTGCATGCTTAGTGTCCGACTGAGAACTGTTATTTACTGTAGTGAAACTGATATGTGTAATGAATCAAATATGTGTCACTATGTTTGAATTTTCCAAAAAAAATGCTATGTATGTAAGGATCAGATTATAGATAGATATTCATTATTGTGTGTTTCTGAACAATTAAAGTATCAAGTGTCTTTCCGGTCTATTTCACTCAAAAGCCCAGGGCTTTATCGGGGTACTTTAAGGGCTTTTTAAAGGATCCATTAAAAATCAAGGAAAATATGTAATGTTTCCAAATTTGCCCCTTAAAAACACTGGGAAAAATCTAAAGAGAAAAATAAGAACTGCATAAACGTTAATAAAATACTTGCCATTATGGAGTTTACAAAATGCAGCATATTTGGAAAGAACAGAAGAATGAGCATGTTGTCATTAAGATAAGCTTAGTCTTATTTCATGTTGTCATTTTATTTTATTTTTTTATCATTTTATACCTTGGATTGAAAAATGATCAATGTCTTGACAAATTTAGAGGAAAAAAATGCCTATATCCTATTAAATTAATAGTATATAAGTTGAGTGTATTTGTGTGGATTAATAGTATAAACTACACCTTTTTATATTTTAGGCTACTGAGCTGTTTACAGAGAAAAGCTGAAACATGGCATCGATAAAGGTAAGCAAACTGATCACACATTAAATTACATTTGGTCTCAATTCTATCCTAATTTTAAATTGATCTGTATAAAGCTACAGGTAGATTTATACTGAAAATGTGTCAACAAGTGTGATATAATGAGTCACATGATATCGAGGGTGTCTCCGGGAGAGATTATGTTGCTCTAGTATAGACTGTTCCGTGTTTGTTTGTTTGGGAGGTATAGGCCTGTAAAGGGTCCCTGTAAAGGAGTTGTACTGAGTGTCAGGTAAAGTTGTTGCTTGTACAGGTGTATCAACATTGAACCTATAATGGACAGGGAGGCAGTTAGTCACACTTGGCTTTGACCAGTGATTGACAGGTTAACTGCCCACTTCATTAGGAGGTTTGCCTGGAGGTCTATAGAAAAGAGATTTATATATGTATATATGGCCTGTTCTCTGGCCATGGTCAGGCTGACTGATGGCCTAGCTCATAAAACAGTTGTAATATAACAATTTACTAGCCGGTGTCAATTAAACACACATAAAACTTTCAACTTAACATATAGACATTCCTATGCTAAACAACTGTCAACCCATTTACAGATTGAATTTTTGTATAAAAATAAATTGTAGTGTGACAATTATATCACCACGCTTTGTTTTATCTACTTGTAAATCAAAAGAAATCTACAGCCAATTCATTTTGTTCTGATGTGCAGATCATTTGTACGAGTGATTCTCCACACAACCACCACATTATACATGCACATTAATTGTAACAAGATTTTGTCCTTTGCTAATACTGTCTTAGAAATTGCATGTCAAAATGAAAATTTGAAATTAAGTGTATGTATGGTCTGATGACACCAGTGACAAAGCCGTCCCAGATTCACAGATCTACAGACATTACAGTTATCAATTTAAAGGGGTCAAGTGTCATTGACCAGGGGTCTTGTTGTGACCTTTTGTCATATATACAGTGTATGTAACCCCAAGGCCTTGGGTGGGTAGAGCCAGCACTAGTACTTGTGTCAACAGATAAATGTTATGGGCTAATGATATTCTGAAATGGGAATCCAGCACTACCTTCATACCTAAGCTTACAAGTTACAAAGATAAGCCTGTTGCATTATTTGTTATAAGTAAAGCTACACTCCATTATACATGAGATTACATATAAACATATCACTAAGCTGATTATAAAACAAAAGTATCCATTCCTATAAACAAAGTACTTTTCCTTACCAACTGAAAGAATAGATTGATCAGTTTGGTACCGGGGTTAATATTTGCAATATGTTCCTTTGATTTACATGATGATGTATAATGCACTTATGATTTTCACTGACCTGCTAAAAACATTTTCTATGTTATAATTGAGGCAGGACTACCGGGGGTAATTTTGCAAATACAGCAAGAACAGTGTGCACTAGCTAGTTTCCACATACATTTGGTTGACAGGAAATAACTCTTAAAAAACCCTTATGTGAAGTAAATACACAGAAATGAATTCTACTCTGTGTCACAGCATTGTAATTTCCTTGTACATGCACGCAGCCTTTGTAGGAAGGATTGTCTAATATGAAAAATACTAAATAAGGTATCATTTTATGGACTTGTTTGCTAGTTGGTGCCAATATGGTCCTTTCTGAAGTGGTAAGAGTAGGGGTGTCTTTTCTTAAAATCTTTTATAAGTTGGTTTTATCCCAGCATAAAAGGACATTGACCGAATCATGTTTGTTTAAACCTTTTTTGCATTTTATTGCTCTGTACAGTTATCAGCTGATGTATGTGCACTGTCAATATCACTGAAGACTTGAAGTGCTAAATATACAATAGATAGATATACTCTATAGCAATAAGTTTAATTGGTTCACATTTACACAGGAATATTTACTATTGCTTAGACATCCATTGACAAGATTATTTACATTCATTCATCATTTCAGTAATGGTCTAAAATATAACTTTTGTAATGAAGTTATAGATCTGATCTTAAAATGTAATCGTTCCCTGCACAGCGAAAAATGATTTTGATGGATTGTCTCCCATTTACTGTAATAAAAAGAAATTTGAGACACTTTGGAGAAGGTTAGTATAGTACATTATGGGACAAAAAAACTATATACTTCCTTGCAAAAAATAACCTCCAAATGTTTGGAAAATAAGGTCTTGGATCCTTAGCTTGAGGTCTATTTGGTACTTTATATATGGAATGAAAAGATCTTATATATATCTAATGTTTTAAATATGGCACATTTGCTGAAATGAAAAAAAGGTAAAACAATAATAATAAATTCTAAATGAAAACTTAGTTTGAAAAAATTTCAAATGAGATGTATCTGACAATTTGTAATTTCACTGATCATGATTTCCCTATATTACTGAAAACTTACTTACTGTGTTAATTTGATAATAAGCCAAATAAAGTATGCTATCTTTCACTTTTAATGTTCATGGCCGTATATGATTATCTTAGCAAGAACATATCTTCTTTTTGTAATTATTTGGGATTTGACAGGGAAATAATTAGGTCGTGAATATATGTTCAGAAACCTGTACAATGCAGAAATTCTGTTTGACCATCATTGTAGGCCAACCCTATAACATTATAAGGCATTTGCTTCAAGCACATGTTCACTAATCAGATTCAGCTGTAAACTTAAGAAGACTATAGGGCACATGTTTCTTAGCATTTATACTAGGGTAATTGATACTTCTTAAAAACCATTACCAGTAATTGCAAATTGCTGATGTCCATGTATTCAACTGGTGTTTTAAATTTAGATATTGCGACTGGAATGTTACCTGTACATGTTAATTGTGCCATTGTTATACATTGTGTTTAACATGAATGGTAGTCGACTCACTTTGAATGCTGATCTATAGTAGGGCTTTTATGAAACAGGCTATAGCTCAGTAATGCTGCTTGTACACTAACAAGTTACATAAATGCAAGTATCAATTGAGGGTAAATATAATAACAATCTACTTGTGTTTCATGGTTGTAGATATATAAAACAGACACATGTATAGAATAGAACTGACTTTAGCAGATGATCTATAATAGCATGGGTCATTGGCGATAGTTGTTCAACTATAGCAAGTGTTGCCATAGTTGTAGTACTATTATCATGTGGTAATTTGATGTGTATTGAAATATTATTGCTGTGGTATTTTTTTTTTTTTATTTAAATGTGTTGTCAACATTTAAATTGTATAATTGTAAATAGAGCATAAACGGAGAGCAATTTTAATTGCCTTTAACCTTTTAGTTCACAAGGATCTAATTTGTCAAAGTGAATATTTAGCCATGTATGTGGTATATTTATGTCTTGACCTAGTACTAGATCCTGCAATAATGTCTGTAACTATAAATTTTGCTGCTTTGTTGGATTCCTGATCAAATCCTTCCGTACATGTAAAGTACAAAAATAACTCTGCCATGAAAATTGCTTGGTATACTGTTTACTTATCTTGCAACAGTTAATTATATATCATCTAGAATTCAAACTAGCTGATCAGGTTACAGCATTTCAGAAATGTAGCACTTCAATGACTCCATTGACTGGCTCCATCATCTTTAAACATTGTCTTTAATAAATTAAACACCATGTTATTGGAGACATTCCCATGCCTTACCAAAAGCACTCGTCCACACGCCCTGACGAGTGATAATGACATGGTGCCGAGTGGTTTAACCTATGCTACTCATCCATGTGCCAAGTAAATTTTGTTCCTGTATTAAATTTGTGCAACAACACTTTCATAATTGTATTAATAAATACCAGTAAAACTGAAATAGAATCAAATAAAACTAATATCTAGAATCTGACATGTCTTCATAGTTCTGTGATTTATAATTGACATTTCAGTAGATCATCAGTATTGGCAGTGCGTTTGCAGGTTTGCCACAAGCTTGCAAGCGCTAAATGATGCTTACTTTAGCTCTGGACGCTTCTAGGGTAAAGTATAAGGACACCCTCTCTTATGTCCTACAAAACCTAGATGGAATAAGTGTCCGTTGCCCCAGGAAATGTTGCAGGTAGTTTGGGGTTCTGTACACAAAATAGTACTTGTATGCACACATTATAAATACTACATCATTTTACATTCAATTGCCTTTTATATTTTGCCAAGTAAAAATCATATGTGCTGAATGACTTTCTTTACTTACTAGTATTACTTAGCTCAATGGTGAACTGGTTAAAAAAAATATTTGAGGGCCTGCATTTGCAACTAACCATAGAATTATAATGTGTACAAGTTTGAATCACTGATTAACAAGTGTCTTGACTTATATCCACTTCTGTGGTCGAATATTTTGCTGTAGCGATTATGATATGTTTAAATGTGGTTTTAAATTTTAACTTTTTCACATCACAAATATTTGTTCCACATTTAGGATACCAAGTCAGCAGGAAAGACCTCTAGGTCCCGGTCCAAGTCTAAGTCCAGGAGCCGTAGTCGTAGTCGCAGCAGAAGCAGATCAAGAGGACGAACTTCATCAGTAACTCGCCAACGCAAACCCACCACCCCAAAACCCAAACAGGAAAAGATGGAGTCAAACTCACCAGCCAGGACAAGAAACAGAACCCCTGAAAGGGCTGTAACTCCAACCAGAAAGTCTGCTCGTCTTCAGAACCTGGTGATTATGATTTGACATGTTAACATTATTCATAGGATAAAAAATCATACTTGACTTAAATGTGATTAGAATAACTTTATAGGAAGGAGAATGTATTCCCTTTTCAAAGCATTTTACTTGTCTTAAAACAAAATAAAACGTCTTCATTTTGAAATTTCTGTTTGATAGACCCTTGCCCCAGAGGAGAGGAAGCCATTGGAGTTTGAACCATCAGCGGAGGAGGAGAAGCGTGTTAGCCGCACAAAGAAGACAGAGTTTGGAGGAGCCATTGGAGCATTTTTCATGATCTTAGGACTTCCAATCACAGTTTACTTTTTCAACTTTGTTTGCAGCAAGGTAGTCACATAAGTCTTTTTATCTCTTTTACAACTAGCTGTTATGTATACAGTGTTGCTTAATCTAATAGTATTCAAAGTTGTTATACAGTTGTGTATGTTTTTGATCTATTTAATTAAATAAGCTTTGTTTCTGTAGAACAATTGCAAGCCCCACCTACCCATTGTGTCATTGGACTGGAGAAATTACTTTGACGGTCAGGCTGCTGCGATATACCTCGGGTGGATGGCTTTCCAGGCTGTACTCTATATGATACCTGTTGGGCCAGTGGTCATGGGTCAGCCTCTTCGTTCTGGTCAGCGACTTAAGTACAGGTGTAATGGTAAGACTCTAATACAAATGCTGTTTAATCAATGCTATTTAAGTGGTTACCAGTGTCTATGTATGTGAACAGAAGTTTGTGCTGAACACAGCTGAAAGTCTTCTCAACCAATATTAGTAGTTGTGCCTTTGTTAAAGTATATCATTTGATAACAGCCAGTGCATGTCATATCAATAATAAGTCTCTGCTGTGAAAAAGAGGTTGGGAAGTGTTAGTCCTGTCTATCATTCCTGTCCAAAACTAGACTTCCATACCAGTCATGATACAATTTTGATGAATTTAAGAATCTTAAAGTGCATTGATATACCCACTGGACTGTACGCCAGTTTAACATGTTGGAATACTTTGTTGCAGGTTTTTACTCCCTTTGTATAAGCCTTGTCGCCTTTGGTGCTGCTGTCTACTTCAAACTTCCTACTGGCATTGTAATGCAGAAGTTCACACAGCTCATCACCACTGGAATTGTCTTCTCTTCTGTCCTGAGTGTCATTCTCTATGTGAAGGCAAGGAGAGGACCTAACAAGCAGCTGGCACCTGGAGGAAATACAGGTATTTAAGCTCAGTGTTGTATTTTGTTCTGGTCTTTTCGACCCAGATTTGTACTTGTTCTTGTGAAATTTGATATAGTAGGATACATGCTAACTGCGAGTGCTTGTAGACATTTTTATGTCAGATTCAGGAAATTTAAATAGATTCATGCCATGTAGGAAATGTGGCAAGGATTTTATCAAAGATGACGAATTTACCTGGAAGTAACATCTTCCATTTTGATTTGGCTGTTGAGATATTAAAGATGTAAAATTCTTTTGCAGGAAATATTCTGTATGATTTCTTCATTGGTCATGAGCTGAATCCTCGAGTAGGAAGTTTTGACCTCAAGTTTTTCTGTGAGCTGCGACCTGGTCTAATTGGCTGGCTTATGCTGAACCTTGTAATGCTGACTGAAAAGTACAACAAGGAAGGGGCTTTCCCCCCAGCACTCACAATGGTCGTCGTGTTCCAGGCTCTCTATGTGGCTGATGCTCTCTGGTTTGAGGTACTTAAATCGATAATTCAGATGTAATCACAGCATTTTTAAAAAAACATCACTTTCCTGTACTTTTCATGCTTTAATTAGCAAATTCTATTATCATTGATTAAAGTTAGATCAAATACTTTAATCACAAACAATCAAACTCAACAACTACGGAGATGTATTTCGAGACATAGATATGAGATAATATATTTAAGTCAGTAGATTAGATCAAGGGATCCCCTTACAAAACTGTTGTCATTATAAACGGAGGTATTAGTTTATATATATATATGATTTCTACATGGAATTATCATATCTAGTTTGGGAATCAGGAGAGAAATTATTGTCCAATACCAGAAGACCTTTTGTGAATATATATTAATTATAATCAGAATGCCCAAACTTTGGTAAAAAAAATGAAATACATGTATAAGTAATGTATACTGTGAAGTGTTAGGATTTGCAACGTAAATCTAAGGTTGAGTTGGTATGTCCACCTGATATTTATACCTTTGTATAAACAGATTTTCATCAAAGTTTATACAGAGGTCATATATCAGAAAACCTTAGATGGGTTGGTATTTCAGGTTCCAATGAGCAAAGATCACTGTTGATATTTATAGGTTAATCACAGGGGCAAAGGGGCATTCATATCTTGCAAATGTTTTCTAAGTTTATGTACTTTTTCTATCTTGTCTCAATTATAATAGATCTGGTCATCAGAAAAAATGATGATATTATCATTGAATGTTTCTATATAATTGACGATGGTGTTGATGTTGTTATAGGATGCCATTCTGACCACCATGGACATAATTCATGATGGTTTTGGATTCATGCTTGTGTTTGGAGACCTGGTTTGGGTGCCGTTCCTGTACTGTCTACAGACACGCTACCTTTCACTATATGGTGTAAAGATGGAGTGGTACTGTCTGGTCTTCATCGGCATCCTCAACTGTAAGTACTGATTCACCAATACTGCTTTGTTCCTTTATACAACTGTAAGTGCTGATTCACCAATACTGCTTTGTTCCCATACCAGTGCATATTCTAGGGGGCAACTTTGTTTACCAGTCACATTGTCCATAGTTAATATAAATCTGATTGGAACACAGGCCAGAGGTCAAATATCTGTTTATATGTATTACTCCAATGTTGAATGTGTCACTAGATGTTTTACATCAATTCATTTAGAGAAAAAACAAATATTGCAACTAGAAATATAATGTGTTGCCATTCAAAGTATATTGGTTGTGTTATTCTGATAATATTTGTTAGTTGCTGAATATTAAAAAGATATTTTAAAGATTTATCTATAACATTGTATGTTTTTCAGTGATTGGCTACTACATATTCAGGGGAAGTAATTCTCAGAAGAATGAGTTCAGGAAGAATCCATACAACCCAGCTCTAGCTCGTGAGTTTTCTTTCCCCATCATATCCTGACATATAATCTTTTAGTAGTATTTCAGGATAACTGGTAAAGACTGTTCATCAGACCTGAAGTTTAAGTTTCTCAGAAACACTTGTCAGGCTAATTTATAAACACAGTACCTTATACTGGTTGATTTGTACTAAAACTCGCTTTCTCAGATTAATTTATATTATCTGAAGTTGTTTTTTTGATAAAATAACAATCCCATTTGTACATGATACAGTGGTTATATTTTGCAAAAATGTCATCTTCCTCTAGATATAAAGATGGTATACCGGTTATTTTTTTTTTTAAATTGACCTTCCTCCATTTCATAGATTATATAGTGGTTATTCTCCCCTCACAACTGAAGCTGTTGATATATTTTAATTCAACATACAAGACCTGTGTATGTGAGGGGATTTATGTCAGTTGTGGTGCCTTGTTAAAGCATTATATTGATGTCAGTTGGGATTCATGGGATCAATGTAAATTCATTGAATCACTGATTCTAATTCAGATACAACAGTGAAAGTTAAACTTCACGAAACTTCAGTGCTGTAATAATGTATAAGAAATCCCAGTCATTTGAAAATGAGTGAACACTTTATATTGCTTACAATTTTGTGCCATTTCAGATCTTGAGACCATCCCAACTTCGTCTGGCAAACGACTTCTTGTATCTGGATGGTGGGGACTTGTTCGTAAGCCTAATTACCTTGGAGACCTCCTGATGGCCACTGCCTGGTCCCTGACATGTGGTAAGTCTACTTAGTCATCCTTAGATCAAGGCTGAGCTAATCAATGTAATCAGTAAGTTAAAATGTGCTACATATGTTTAATGTTGCTTTTAGAAATCGCAGTTGTGACCAATATGTTTGTCATCTTTAATTGCAACTTTTTGCACAGATTTATGAGACTGGAAGTGAAATTGTGGTCTCAGTCATTTAACAGATGCTCCTATTTTGAAGCCAAACAAATTTATGCAAAATTACTAAATTACTAAATTGTAAAATGATTCTGTTGGCATTCCACCCCTGAACTAGTTGGCCTTATTTATAGGAATCAAGCAGTGATACTACTCATTTATGATCATTATGCTGTTCCAAAGATGTTTGAAGGTTGTTGTTGGGGTTCAACACTGTTTTCGTTTGTTAGTTCCATCCTTGACATGCCTCATTACACAACCCCTGGATAGGGTTTTGATTCTATTACTGAAAATAATTTTCGATTTCTCACAAAATAATTTATTGAAAAGAAAAAAGATAATTGTTTATGGTTTCATGAAGGTTTAGAAGCATCAAAATAATTCATAGTATGTCTTAAATTTGTATATACAGTTTATGTTGTTTATAAAATATGTTTCAAGCTAAATTTAAAACCAAATTAAGAAAATGTTTGGTCATTTTGGGTCAAAATGGCATCAAAAAGATGGGAATCTTGTAATTCTGGAAAGCCAAGAACACTGGAGGGAACAGAACAGCAGTTTGTGATGTGATTCAATGGGTGGTTTTGGATAAATGAATTGCTTATTTGTCAATATATGTAAAATAGGTGTTTTGGTAAAACATTTTTATCAGCTTCAAAACAAATCTTTACACAAATAGGGGTCAGAGAGTTTCACATTTTGATCAAGTTTTACACTGTGACCCCACACCAGACATCTACCTTTCAAAATGTCAAATAGTTTAGGAAACTTGAACTGCCATATATACTGGGATCATGTCATAGTAACAAGAAGAGTAACGAGGACTGTTCGTGATATAAAATCTATAATACATAGGTGGTAGGGTCTGAAATAATTGTTCATATTTATAACATGTAATCTGGACAATTTCATAAAAATTGTTTACTGCCTGCCACATCCACACCCCATCTCCATTTATATTTGGGGGAAAACATTGGTTAAAACCAAATCAGAAACATGAACGTAGACATTACTACATGCTAACCCTATGGTTGTGTATTTCAGGGTTTTCTACACCATTGGTGTACTTCTATCCCTTGTACTTTGCCATCTTGCTGATCCACCGGGAATACCGTGATGCTGAACAATGCCAGAAGAAATACAAAGCCAGCTGGGACCGTTACTGTGAACGAGTGAAATACAGAATATTCCCATACATTTATTAGACTTATCAAAAGTTGTCTTGTATTAACTAGAATACTCCACAGCATTTGTGTACTGTATGTAATGAATACATACAGGTTATTTCAGTTATTTTCTTTTATGTATTTTTGTTATATTTTCATGTTTACGATACTGTTCAAGACCATGAAATAAAGTTTTAGGCAAATATGTGCATATTTTTAAATATTTTAAAGATTAAATAATTTTAAAATTATGTTATTACATATAAGTTGATCAGGACAAATTTAGGTTGAAGATTAAAAAAGCATCCACATACTTACAAGTTTGAAAGTTTGTGCTTTGATACGGTCTAACATCTATTGAAATAATTTTGCAATATTCCTTGATGTAAAATCAACTGTCATTGTTTGTTTCTCAAACTGTTCTTGTATGTGATTATTATTTTTATTTTGTTTTAAGAGGAATGAAAAATAGTGCCTTTCAGTAACATTATTCACTGCCCTTCCTTAAATAATGTAAATTGCTATATTTTTGTGAGAGAAAGTTTTCACATTAATTCACAAGGAGGGTTATATGTGCATTTTAATTTCCTGCAAACATCAAATTCACAGATAATTACTATTGATATTGAAATAGCATAGTAAAGTACATGCAAAAGTAAAATGCCAATCAATTCCTAGCAGATTCAATCAAATATGAAAATGAAGAAACACTCTAAATGTTGAGGGCGAGAGAGGGAAATTATTTAGCAGCTTATTTTATGTGTAAAAGCTGTACCAGTGAATTACCAAAATTATGTTTACAATTATTTTTCAAGGAGTTATGAAGGTTATTCTAGATGTGAATAAATGAAGGATGTGGGAGACACATTTAACATTTCTGTAGTGCGGTATCAAAGAGCATCACTAATCCTCCATGATCCTCTCATGTAGTTCTGAAATAGCCCTGAGCAATATTTACTCATGTTACTGTTTGCAAATTGATGCAATATTTTAAATTGAATTACATGTAACAATCTTAAAATTGAGTGATTGTGAATGTCGTATAAGAAGGAGTTGAAACTGCAACACAGCATTATCAGGAAAATCACTTTTCATTTTTGTAATACTTTCAGAGATCTCATCATTAAGTGTGTGAAAGTGAAGGAGAGCAAGGTGCCATAGGTATTCCTGGCTATAGTGTAAAATCATGTATATTAGACACTACTATCACTGGTGTACAGAGTGCTGGATGTAAATGTGTAGTATGTAAATAGTCCCAGCAGAGTAATACAGTGTCATGTACATAAGTTACTGTTTGTACAGATTTCCTTTTTGGATTCCCATGTTGTAACAAAGCTTTTAGACTAAAGAATATACTATTTTTATGGATGTTTGGAATGAAGCAGTTTATCAACAATTGACAGCAGTCCAATGTTTGGAGTTATAGTGTTAAGGAAGAATTATAATTTGTCATTTGTGAAATATTGAGACATTTACTTAACTTGAAATTCAAACATTGTTATTTTATATTTTCAAAAAACAAAAATAAGATATATAAAAAAAATGTTCCAGACAGAAGTAAATATGGAATAAAAGTGAGTGTATTAAATAAATGAAAGTCATGTCTGTGTAATTAAAGACAGTCCCATGATAATTATATTCACTATTAAAATACAGCTTGATTTCAGAACAAAACTTTTCTTGTGTATTTTTTGGGCTACAGAAATGGAGAACTATACTGTGATTATAAAATGAATAGAGGGTTAGCAGATCACCACCCTTGTCTGACTTCTAGTCTAGTTGGTATCACTACAGTGAGAGACAAATAGAAATTGTGTGACTATACCGTATTATCTGAACTAAATAAAAACAACTCCAAAATATGAATTGAAGCCTTACGGTCCATACACGTTACTGTAGCACTATTAGCATGTTCCTACTTCTCCCAAATACTAGGTTGCTTTCATATATCTCGGTTGTGCAGAAATATTCCTGGATATATGAGTGTACTTTGACCAAATGTAAAGGCAAAGATACAAATGAATTTTTTATGTCCATTCATGCTCCCACTGAATTTTATACAAAATTCTTGAATATGTAGATGCAAACTAGCAATAGACAGCATTTTAATTTCAGCCAGGCACGTCCAAACTTTTGGTTCAAATCTAGTTATGTCACTTATTGAAACAATTGAGCTGGATATGCCCCTAGTGTCTAAAAAAATAAGATTATATTGGAGAGCTGTCCAAAGCCAGATGTGAATGACTTATCTGGTTAAAGTAAACTGTAAGGACACAAACATTAGACCAGGTTATACTGTATCATTAGATTAATGCCAGATTAATAATGACACCACATCGGGTTATACTGTATCATTAGACCAATGTCAGATAAATGGTAAGACCACATCCTGCTATACTGTATCATTAAACCAATGTCAGATTAATGATGAGACCACATCGGCTATACTGTATCAGACCAATGTCAGATTAATAATGACACCACATCAGGTTATACTGTATCATTAGACCAATGTCATATTAATGATGAGACCACATCGGCGATACTGTATCAGACCAATGGCAGATTAATAATGACACCACATCAGGTTATACTGTATCATTAGACAAATGTCAGATTAATGATGACACCACATCAGGTTATACTCCATCATTAGACCAATGTCAGTTTAATGATGAGACCACATCGGCTATACTCTATCATTAGACCAATGTCAGTTTAATGATGAGACCACATCAGGCTACACTGTATCATTAGACCAATGGCAGATTAATGATGAGACCACGTCACCTATACTGTATCATTAGACCAATGTCAGATTAATGATGAGACCACGTCAGCTATACTGTATCATTAGACCATTGTCAGATAAATGATGACACCACATCAGGCTGTACTGTATCATTAAACCAATGTCAGATTAATGATGACACCACATCAGGTTATACTGTATCATTAGACCAATGTCAGATTAATGATGAGACCAAATCGGCTTTACTGTATCATTAGACCAATGTCAGATAAATGATGAGACCACATCATGCTACACTGTATCATTAGACGAATGATAGATTAATGATGAGACCACATCAGGCTATATTGTATCATTAGACCAATGTCAGATTAATGATGACCCCACATCAGTCTATACTGTATCATTAGACCAATGATAGATAAATGATGAGACCACATCAGGCTGTACTGTATCATTAAACCAATGTCAGATTAATGATGAGACCATATCAGGCTGTACTGTATCATTAGACCAATGTGAGATTAATGATGAGACCAAATCGGCTTTACTGTATCATTAGACCAATGTCAGATAAATGATGAGACCACATCAGGCTATACTGTATCACTAGACTAATGATAGATTAATGATGAGACCACATCGGCTGTACTGTATCATTAGACCAATGTCAGATAAATGATGACACCACATCGGCTATACTGTATCATTAGACCAATGTAAGATTAATGATGAGACCACATCAGGCTATATTGTATCATTAGACCAATGTCAGATTAATGATGAGGCCACATCAGGCTGTACTGTATCATTAAACCAATGTCAGATTAATGATGAGACCAAATCGGCTTTACTGTATCATTAGACCAATGTCAGATAAATGATGAGACCACATCATGCTACACTGTATCATTAGACGAATGATAGATTAATGATGAGACCACATCAGGCTATACTGTATCATTATACCAATGATAGATTAATGATGAGACCACATCGGCTGTACTGTATCATTAGACCCATGTCAGATTAATGATGACACCACATCGGCTATACTGTATCATTAGCCCAATGTCAGATTAATGATGAGACCACGTCAGCTATACTGTATCATTAGACCAATGTCAGACTAATGATGAGACCACATCAGGCTATACTGAATCATTAGACCGATGTCAGATTAATGATGAGACCACATCGGCTATACTGTATCATTAGCCCAATGTCAGATTAATGATGAGACCACATTGGCTATACTGTATCATTAGACCAATGTAAGATTAATGATGAGACCACATCAGGCTATATTGTATCATTAGACCAATGTCAGATTAATGATGAGGCCACATCAGGCTGTACTGTATCATTAAACCAATGTCAGATTAATGATGAGACCATATCAGGCTATACTGTATCATTAGACCAATGCCAGATTAATGATGAGACCACATCAGGCTTGTACTGTATCATTAGACCAATGTCAGATTAATGATGAGACCACGTCAGCTATACTGTATCATTAGACCATTGTCAGATAAATGATTACACCACATCAGGCTGTACTGTATCATTAGACCAATGTGAGATTAATGATGAGACCAAATCGGCTTTACTGTATCATTAGACCAATGTCAGATTAATGATGAGACCAAATCGGCTTTACTGTATCATTAGACCAATGTCAGATAAATGATGAGACCACATCAGGCTATACTGTATCACTAGACTAATGATAGATTAATGATGAGACCACATCGGCTGTACTGTATCATTAGACCAATGTGAGATTAATGATGAGACCAAATCGGCTTTACTGTATCATTAGACCAATGTCAGATTAATGATGAGACCATATCAGGCTATACTGTATCATTAGACCAATGCCAGATTAATGATGAGACCACATCAGGCTATATTGTATCATTAGACCAATGTCAGATTAATGATGAGGCCACATCAGGCTGTACTGTATCATTAAACCAATGTCAGATTAATGATGAGACCACATCAGGCTATATTGTATCATTAGACCAATGTCAGATTAATGATGAAACCACATCAGGCTATACTGTATCATTATACCAATGATAGATTAATGATGAGACCACATCGGCTGTACTGTATCATTAGACCAATGATAGATAAATGATGAGACCACATCAGGCTATACTGAATCATTAGACCGATGTCAGATTAATGATGAGACCACATCGGCTGTACTGTATCATTAGACCAATGTGAGATTAATGATGAGACCAAATCGGCTTTACTGTATCATTAGACCAATGTCAGATTAATGATGACACCACATCAGTCTATACTGTATCATTAGACTGTAGGGGTCTGGAATGATTCCATGGACCGTTCTATCTATATGATACTCCACTGTGAGTGAGAGACCATGATGGCTTTAATGGTTGACCTTGAAAGTAGGTCAAGGTCATTTATTTACATGCGGAAAATTGATAGCTTTTTATTCCAAGTACTTACTGTCTAAATAGCACAACCCTATGTCATATTTTAAATGGAGAAGACTCATGTTTGTTCCCCCTTTAAAGCTCTTGTTGACCTCTGACCCCAGCCAGCACTCATTAAGCTATTAATTATTTGTCTTAAGTACTGATATGCATAAAAGATTTTTCGATCACAATGTTGGGCCTAATAAACAAGTAGCATGGATGTGGACCTTATTGTTCTAAATAATATTGTTTGTAGATTTTTTTTCATATTTAGTCTGTGACCTTGGAAGTAGGTAAATTATTTGAAAATTTATATCTTTCAATCACGGATTAGATTATCTAAGTCTGTGCGTTCAATCGAAAGTACAGGTCTGTACTGGCAAAATATATCACAAAGCTGGGCCATACTGAGATATATATTGGGTTTTTTTGGTTTTTTTTAACAACTTTTTACCCTTGATTCCGGCCAAGTTCACTTTNTCCTCGCTCGGCTCCGCACTGGGCACACATATCCTACTCATTCGTACCTTTTAAAACGAGAAGATATACCTTCATGCCACGCATGTGACACTCCATTTACAGTGGAACATTTTTTAATAGAATGTTCCGATTTTAAACACATTCGTGATAACTACTTTCGAGTCCCGGATATGAAAACACTTTTCAGTTCCGTGGATTCGAAGGCATTATTTAACTATTTGAAAGACATCGGTCTATTTTATAGACTCTGATGTCTTTTAACCCACCTTACCATTTTTGACGTTATATATATATCGCATATTCCATATCATCTATTCGTTATCTCTTTTATTATTTTAACCCCCTTTTTTATTTTTTATTATCTACACATACAATGCGAATGCTTTTAAAATGAACCATTTTATCTGATTTTATCTTCGCTACTCACATGTTTGTGACAAACAAACAAACAAACAAACAAAAAAAGGTTAACTGACATGCTATAAAAATTGTATGAGAAAATCTCCGGACAAAAATCAAATACTGAAATGAACAAAGGGCAATAACTTTTGGAAAAATTGTTGAATCAAAATTCTTTTCAAGGAAATACAACAACATATCATGATTATTTAGCCTACTTAGTTTCAAAGAAATCGTTCNGAATGCTTTTAAAATGAACCATTTTATCTGATTTTATCTTCGCTACGCACATGTTTGTTAAAAAAAATAAAATAAATAAATAAATCACCATGGCCCTAAATGACCACAGCCGTCGATGGGCCGTTAAACATAAAAAAACAAACAATCAAACAAAAAAAGGTTAACTGACATGCTATAAAAAATGTATGAGAAAATCTCCGGACAAAAATCAAATACTGAAATAAACAAAGGGCAATAACTTTTGGAAAAATTGTTGAATCAGAATTATTTTCAAGGAAACACAACAACATATCATGATTATTTAGCCTACTAAGTTTCAAAGAAATCGTTCAAAAAAATGTAGGAGGAGATCTCCAGACAAAATATAAAATACCGAAATGAACAAAGGGCAATAACTTTTGGAAAAATTGTCGAATCAAAATTCTTTTAAGGGAGACACAATTTCATTTCATGACTATAATGTAAACCAAGTTTCAAAGAGATCGGTCGAAAAATGTAGGAGGAAATTGCCGGACAAACAAAAGTTTACGCCGGACGGAAGGACAACCCCAAACCATAATATATACTTCCGTCAAATTTGACGGCCTTATACAAATCTAAGCCGTAACAGGTGTTCAATATGTTTTTTGATTTTTTTTCTACATCTTTATCCATGTGACCTCTCGGCAGTTTTCATTAAATCGATTCAACGTTTCCGGGTTGTTTCGTCCGAAATCCCGTTTGCCCTAGGTTAACGTTGTTTCGCGCTATGTTGTATCGCCCTAAAACAAAATTGTTAGGGCGAAATATTGTTTGGTATTTTCTTTCAATTTCAGTAGTTTTAAGTCACAAATTAAGTCTTCTTGGTCTTCCGTATCATTAAAATCAATTTCATAGAAAAATGTGTTTGTCTTATTTTTAAGCAAGTGTAACAAAACGGCAGCTGTGAAAAGCTGACTCCGTTCTCACATACTGTAACATATACATATGTTACTGTACATGAATTTTCCACACACCAATGGAGAAAGGCATTAATCAATGATTATATAAGCATATAAATTTAAAAAATATGTTTAGGGCGAACAGGATTTAGGGCGAAACAACCCTTTGCGCGAACGGGATTTAGTTAGGGCGAAACAATCCTTTACTTGGCAACCGGTCGGACCACAGTTGTTCGTTTATTAAAAAAAATGTCGGACCACAGGGGCTCGTGTATGTTTATGAGGTTGTAGCCCATACCAGGGCTACATACGCGTATACCGGTTGAAACGGTACGTGTGGCGCAAAATAAAATACTCGATAAGCCGAGCTAAAAATGCACAGTTTCGAAGAATAAAAAAACAATTGTATCAAGAATATTATGCTCTTCTCTCACGCGTCCACTGAATTACATAACGTATCTTAAAAATCTAAGTTACACTGATGTGACTTGGCATTGTTTTAAAAATAAATAATGCAAAATGGCAATAGTCAGCATTTAGTTTCGGTCAGGTACGTCAGGGACAGTATATAGAGTATACGTCCCTGGTATGACGGTGAACCATTACTGTATATTTGATAGTATAAAATCAATACATTCACGAGTGGTCTCCCTTCCTTTAGGAAAAAAGCGTTTCCCTGATGCTGACATCGCAAGAGTGCCCGGATGAAGGACATTCGCTCATCATAATTTTTATCTTGATTGACATTTTCACATTGCAGCGAGAACGAAAGATTAGCACAGAGAGAGGCCTTTGCCATAAATATGGCGGACACATCGGAGTCTGACACCACTGAAGTTCAATCAGTGGCAGATACCACCGTGTTTTCGGAATATCTCTGCAGAATCGTCCCAGTTTTGCTCGAAGACCGGGAATCTGCATCTTCACACCTGAAAACTGCTTTGGTGGAGAAACCTCATATTGAAACCTTAAAAAAATTTCTTGGTGACCCACAGGTGCCAGTTTTGTTAGTACAACGTTCATCTACCAAAGGTAATTTATAAATATTGAAAATTGCTGTAGCGTTACTCAGTAGGCATTTCAAATATTTTTTGTTTAAAAAATGTCATCCATGTTCGCGGAATCTAGAAAGAGGAGGCGTGGTTTTTCTTTTCATTTGATTGATGCAAACAATAGTTTTGTTCGCTTTTAAACGAAAAATCGAATTTTCTTAACAATTTGAAAACAAATGAATTGTAATTTGAAATGAAGTTTCCGTTATGGGACGATATTGCAGTCTGCAAACATCGCATGACACTTATCATAATCAATATCGTATGACTCACAGTCTGCAGTCTTACCCTGAAGCATATCTCGCCTATCTCGGCATGTATTGGTCACATCTGGTAAATGAGAGTAATGCAGTCAGTAAATATGGATAAAATTAAACACAAAAACGCCACACGTGTAGAGATTTTAGCTTTCTAATAGATATCACAATTAAAGTTTTATATGCAGGCGATCCTTTGTAATTTCTGAGCTTAAATTGAGCGAATGATATGTCGATCACAAGAATTTTTATTTTTGTTCTGAAAACATAAATAATCACCGGTGATGAGGTTTTAAAGCTCTTTTTGTTATCCTAAACGTGAAGGGGTGTGTCAAGGTTTCCATATAGGTAATTTTTCAACTTGAGTATCAATCGACTCACTTAGACCTAATTTGATATGAAAAAATCCTTTGCCAATGTGATTCAATATTACCAATGTATAGAAATCATAATGATGTAACATAAATGTTGATAACCCTGCAATTAAGTCGGAGGAAGAGACTGAAATGATGGTGTCTGTTCATCTGTGAGTGTCTGTTGACACAGTTTGTCCCAACTACTGTAAGATATAAAATATGTCCAACAAAATTTTGTATACTTTTTTATCAGCATCACTGTCACTGTATGCAAGGCAATGAAATATGAAATAATCCTTACATGATCTGAACATATGATGTTGGTTTTTATACGCCCGTCAAATTAGACGAGAGTATTATGGTATGGTGTCGTCTGTCCGGCGTAAACTTTTGTTTGTGCGGCAATCTCCTCCTACATTTTTCGACAGATCTCTTTGAAACTTGGTATACATTAAAATCATGATATAAAGTTGTGTTTTACAAAAAGAATTTTGATTCGACTATTTTTGCAAAAGTTATTCCCTTTTGTTTATTTCAGTATTTGATTTTTTTGTCTGGAAATCTCTTCCTACATTTTTTGAACAATTTCTTTGAAACTTAGTAGGCTATATTATCATGATATGAAGTTGTTTCCCTGAAAAGAATTTTGATTCAACAATTTAAAAAGTTATTTTTGTTTATTTCAGTATTTGGGTTTTTTGTCCAGATATCTCCTCCTACATTTTTTGATCAATTTCTTGATTCCTTGAAACTTGTAAGGCTATATTATCATGATATGTTATTGTGTTTTCCTGAAAAGAATTTTGATTTGACAATTTTTGCAAAAGTTATTGCCCTTTGTTTTTGATTTTTGTCCGACGATCTCCTCCTACATTTTTCGACCGATTTCTTTCAAAATTCAAGATTGTCACTTGCACCTTGTCATCTGATTTCAGGACATCCTTTTCCCACTCATTCAGAAGTTCTGGTTGGCATATTTTAATTTAATTTTGAACAAATATTCCTATCATTGCCCTGACCAACTATTATTGTAATATTTTGGGTTGATTCAAAATCCAAGATGGGAAGCATGGTGCCTAGTTGGAGGGATTGTTTTCAACTTCTTTAGTAAAATAAAAGGTGAACAACATAGTCTCCATGAGCGTCTTGTTTTCTTAGATGTTGATCTAAACCTTCATAAAACTCCAACCATATCATATACACAATGTCTATCACTATTCGAGATCTGAGGTCCCTGATATTGATAGGCAGTGTGCTCATGCTTATTTTGAGAGTATCTGCGTCTTTTCGTATAGTGTAAAAAGTTGGACACAAAATTCCTGTATTTTCAACATGTGTGAGGTTGATGTTTTTATGGGTAGTACATGAACATGTAGCTGATTTTCAGTAGAAATATATTATACATTGAACTCAGAGTTTTATGAAGGCCCCTTCCTCTAGTTATTTCTGCGAGATAATTACCCAAAATCACAAGGCATAGGCTAGGCCCCTCTTGTAAAAAAAAAGGAAGAAAAATCACTGTAATTGCTTGTTCCCTTTTTAGACAAAAAATAATTTTAATCAGTAAATTGTATGGTATAATTTGTGCTTCTTGTGTATTTTGAAATTGGCACAGGGTCTTTTTTAAATTGTTATTCAATGCATCACCATTTTTTTTTATGTATGAACAGATGAATCTGAGGATGTGGCTGAGGGAGATGGGGACAATGAGGGAACTGTCGCCTATCACATAACATCTACTGTCAAGTTTTCTAGTTCCAAGATATGCAGGTAAATCATACTTCTGCTGTATTCTGTAGTCCTTTATTAATTAACTTCCAAAAATAAACTAAGGCATTCAGAAATTTGACCAGTTAAATCACTCTATAGGGACAACAGTGCGTGAATACTGGTAGTACAATCGTGGAAAAGAGGTAGAAAATATTGTAGTTGAGATATTTAGGATAATTTTTGTGTTAAAAAAGTATGGCAAATTTTCGTTTTGATGCAAATTTAATTTTCTTCAAAACAGGAAATAGGAATAAAAAAAAAAGTTGGTGTTTCCAAAATATGATATTTTCTACAAGTATCAATTTATGAATATTTCTAGTATGGTGCTTATCAAGAGAGGGCCTGTAGTGGAGGCAGACAAGTCCTTCCCCTCACAGCTGAGGATCATGAACTTCAGCGAAGGTTCGCCATACGAGACGCTCCATTCCTATGTCGCCAATGCTGTAGCCCCATTCTTCAAATCCTACATCAAAGAAACTGGAAAGGCTGAGAGGTCAGTATGATAATTATTATGCAGCTTATATATCTAGCATTGAAATATGGATGGTTTTGATATTTAATGAGAAGGCAAACGAAGCCACTACATATAAATGATTTTAATTTGCATTTTATACAGTGTTCTTTGGTAAATATATCTACATGCATTTAAAAAAAAATATGTTAAGTATAAGTTATCTGCATCTATTTTCATCATATTTTATGAAATAGGAACCCCTTTCTTTCTAACCTTGAAATTGCAATAACGGACAGTTTCAGTATAGATATATCCAAACTTTCAAGATGAAGTGGTGGACCTTTTTACAATATGGATATAATATTTCTCTTTAAATACAGTGATGCTTATAATTATGATAATTCTACTTTTTCAGGGATGGTGATAAAATGGCCCCAACTGTTGAAAAGAAGATTTCTGAGCTTGAAATGGGCCTTCTTCACCTACAACAGAACATAGACATACCAGAGATCACTTTACCTATCCATCAGGTGGTATCAAGTGTCATCAAAAAGTGTGCAGAAGAAAACAAAAAACCTAAGGTGGAGGACTTCGGGGACAAAGTGGAGGATGCTCAATTTCTCAATGCTCTACAGAGCGGTGTCAATCGTTGGATTAGGGAAATACAGAAGGTAAGGGACTCTTATTTAATGAGTCCTAAGAAAAACAGACAGAAAGGGGACATGGAGATTGCCATAACAAAATAGAATAAAAATTGCAATTAAATTTAAAATATGCAGAAATCTTCTTTTAAAACCTTGGAATTTGTTTTCCATTTTCCTCCCAAGACCGTAATTTAATTATTATTTTTTTGTAACCTTAGAAAGCTTATAACAAACAGTATATAATGACGTTATCATTCCTGTTTTTGATCTGTAAAAGAGAACTCATTGATTTCTGTTTTTTTACAGGTGACGAAGTTGGACCGAGATCCAGCCTCAGGAACTGCTCTTCAGGAAATCAGCTTCTGGCTCAATCTAGAGCGAGCTCTACTCCGGATCCAGGAAAAACGTGAAAGTCCAGAAATTGTCCTTACTTTGGAGATCCTCAAACATGGGAAAAGATTCCATGCCACTGTTAGTTTTGACACAGATACAGGTCAGTTAATCTGTTTGGACGGCATGATAATTGATGATAATATAATAATACAAAAGTTAAACTTACACTAGGTATCTATATACGGTTTGTCTTCGATATGAATGTTAATGGTGTGATATCGGATTTTTGTATCTGGAAATTTTTACACACAGGACTTAAAACTGCTATGGCCACTGTGAATGATTACAACCAGCTGATGAAGGACTTCCCTCTGAATGATCTGCTGGCTGCATCAGAGCTAGACAGGATCAGAGTGTCGGTGCAGGCAATTTTCCTTCACCTGAGAAAGATCAGACCAACAAAATACCCAATCCAAAGAGCTCTGAGACTGGTGGAGGCAATCTCTAGGGATCTCAGCTCGCAGCTTTTAAAGGTAAGATACAAAGAGCTCTGAGACTGATGGAGGCTATCTATAGTGACTTCAGCTTTACTTCTTAAGTTAAGGTCCAAATAGCTCTGAGACTGAAAAAAGGCTTTCTCTTAAGACCTGGGCACAGGTACAAAGCTACAAGAGTAAATGCCTAAGGTTTGACCCTATCACTAAATGATCAGTAATAATGATAACAATCAGAATTGACAAGAAAAAAGAAAGATTTTGAATGAAATCTTAGTTATGTTTCTAATTTCATTTGAACTTTCTTTTAGTCCTTCCTAACTATAAGCCTCCTTGAATTGCCATTACTTTAAAAAAACAAACACAACTGGGCTGGACAAATTGTTGCACAGATCATCTGTACTTAAAGTCTTAATAAAAACAATTTAACTTTTTTTCTTTGTTTTGAATTGAGAAGACTATGTTACTTTTTATCTTTGCAGGTGCTTGGAACTCGTCGCTTGATGCACATTGCATATGATGAATTTGAGAAAGTGATGAATGCATGTTTTGAGGTGTTTGGGACATGGGATGATGAGTATGACCGGCTCCAGGGACTGCTGAGGGACCTGGTGAAGAAGAAGAGGGATGAGCACCTGAGGATGGTGTGGAGGGTAAACCCTGCTCACAAACGCCTCCAGGGAAGACTCGAACAGATGAGGAAGTAAGTGATACAACTTTAACCTGGAAGGGTGTCTTGGACAGATATTTTTTTTCATACAAGATTTTAAATCATGTGTGGAACAACTCCTGGCTAATTTCATTCCAACACTTATTAAAGCTAGGAGAAACAATCGGAAGCTGTTTTTGAAGTGTTTTACCGAAGTGTTAAGGTACTGTCAAATTGGCTATATGTCACAATCCATTGAGAGGTGCATATGACGATCAAATATCCTTTTAATTCTAACAGTAGCTAAGGACAAGCAAAACCCATTCAGCCACCATGTCTTATTGAAGTTACACATTAGGAAAACTGTTGAGCTGACAGATGACAATGGAACAATGAATATAGATAACCATGGTTTAATGTCTGGTATCCTGATTGAACAAGGAACATGATAAGCTAAGATTTGCTCTTGTGTGCATAGGTTCCGAAGGCAGCATGAACAGTTGCGTCAAGTCATCGTGCGTGTCCTCAGACCAGCAGTCAGCTCTTCTGCTGGACGGGCTACAACCCCGGGACAAGACGACGCAGAACCAAAAACCATAGAACCCATGGTTGACGAGGCAGCCGATGCTAATGCTATTGAGGTAAGACGAATGTCATCTAGGATTAACTGGCATATTTTAAAGCATGTTTTATTCTTGAAAAATAAAATGTGTGTGCTTTGCAGGCAATTTGTGGAAGCCTCCAGACACTTACATAATTGTTATTCATTTTTTTCATAATATCTGAAAATTACTTTTTTTGGACAAAGTGATGGCCAGAACTGTCATATTTTAAGGTATGTTTTATTCTCTAAATTTCTTATATGTAAGCTTTGCGAGTAATTTATTTGATGTCTGAATTGACTGACAGGAGGTGAACCTAGCATATGAGAATGTAAAGGAGGTAGACGGACTTGATGTGTCTAAAGAAGGTTCTGATGCCTGGGAGGCTGCCATCAAAAGGTACATTGTTCTCATTGGATTCAAAATGATTAGATGAACATTAGAATGAGCATGTGATTGTCCAATGTACAGATGAGAAAGTGGAAATGTTAATCCTCTGTAAATGCTTGCAGGTATGATGAGCGAATTGACCGAGTGGAAACACAAATTACAGCCCGTCTGAGAGATCAGCTAGGAACAGCCAAGAATGCTAATGAAATGTTCCGGATCTTCTCGCGCTTCAATGCCTTGTTTGTGCGACCACACATTCGTGGGGCCATCAGAGAGTATCAGACCCAGCTCATACAGAGAGTCAAAGATGACATTGAGTCTCTTCATGAGAAGTTCAAGGTAAGTGGCGGCAAAGAAAAAGCACAATCCTATAATTGCAGTTTGAAACATTTATCCGTGCACTCCAATTGTTTCTCAAGTGCAAGGATAAAAATGCAAATTGTATCACAATGCTTAATTATTTTTGAAATGTATACATTGAAAATAAGTTTTTAGGGTGTATTAAAGTTTAATTGAACAAAAATATTTATTTGCTCGTATGCTCCGGGTAAGACCTGATAGATTTTTACAACTGGAATGTTTATGTTACAGGTTCAGTATGCCCAGAGTAAGGCCTGCCGTATGAGTAAAGTCCGAGATTTACCACAGGTGTCTGGCCGTATCATCTGGTCCCGACAGGTATGTCTACAGTATACATCACAACTTACATTTAATATGGACTGTAACTGGGAAGTGGCTAATGTTTGATAATGTCTGTACAATTAATAAGTATGTAAAAGCTTGTCTAAGGCAAACATTGTAATGTTCAGAAAAGACTTTACTGCTCAATGTAAGAAATGTGGTGAATCAGGTGAAGTAGCCGACTATTGCCAGAATCACAATCAAGAATTTATGCTGAGACACCTTTGTTTCTCAGATTGAGCGTCAACTGAACACCTACCTACGACGAGTAGAGGATGTACTGGGGAAAGGCTGGGAGAACCATGTGGAGGGGCAGAAACTCAAGGGTGATGGTGACAGCTTTCGCATGAAACTCAATACATCAGATCTGTTTGAAGACTGGCAGAGAAAGGTACTGTAACACAGGAGAAATTTCCTCTTGTTTAATTTTGCCCTTGAATGAAAAGTAAAATTTGATGGAGGGTAAATTGTTTTCTTTGTAGTAGGATCTGTACAATTACGATAGAGGGTAAATTGTTTTCTATGTAGTAGGATCTGTACAATTATGATAGAGGGTAAATTGTTTTCTTTGTAGTAGGATCTGTACAATTATGATAGAGGGTAAATTGTTTTCTATGTAGTAGGATCTGTACAATTATGATAGAGGGTAAATTGTTTTCTATGTAGTAGGATCTGTACAATTATGATAGAGGGTAAATTGTTTTCTATGTAGTAGGATCTGTACAATTATGATAGAGGGTAAATTGTTTTCTATGTAGTAGGATCTGTACAATTATGATAGAGGGTAAATTGTTTTCTATGTAGTAGGATCTGTACAATTATGATAGAGGGTAAATTGTTTTCTATGTAGTAGGATCTGTACAATTATGATAGAGGGTAAATTGTTTTCTATGTAGTAGGATCTGTACAATTATGATAGAGGGTAAATTGTTTTCTATGTAGTAGGATCTGTACAATTATGATAGAGGGTAAATTGTTTTCTATGTAGTAGGATCTGTACAATTATGATAGAGGGTAAATTGTTTTCTATGTAGTAGGATCTGTACAATTATGATAGAGGGTAAATTGTTTTCTATGTAGTAGGATCTGTACAATTATGATAGAGGGTAAATTGTTTTCTATGTAGTAGGATCTGTACAATTATGATAGAGGGTAAATTGTTTTCTATGTAGTAGGATCTGTACAATTATGATAGAGGGTAAATTGTTTTCTATGTAGTAGGATCTGTACAATTATGATAGAGGGTAAATTGTTTTCTATGTAGTAGGATCTGTACAATTATGATAGAGGGTAAATTGTTTTCTATGTAGTAGGATCTGTACAATTATGATAGAGGGTAAATTGTTTTCTATGTAGTAGGATCTGTACAATTATGATAGAGGGTAAATTGTTTTCTATGTAGTAGGATCTGTACAATTATGATAGAGGGTAAATTGTTTTCTATGTAGTAGGATCTGTACAATTATGATAGAGGGTAAATTGTTTTCTATGTAGTAGGATCTGTACAATTATGATAGAGGGTAAATTGTTTTCTATGTAGTAGGATCTGTACAATTATGATAGAGGGTAAATTGTTTTCTATGTAGTAGGATCTGTACAATTATGATAGAGGGTAAATTGTTTTCTATGTAGTAGGATCTGTACAATTATGATAGAGGGTAAATTGTTTTCTATGTAGTAGGATCTGTACAATTATGATAGAGGGTAAATTGTTTTCTATGTAGTAGGATCTGTACAATTATGATAGAGGGTAAATTGTTTTCTATGTAGTAGGATCTGTACAATTATGATAGAGGGTAAATTGTTTTCTATGTAGTAGGATCTGTACAATTATGATAGAGGGTAAATTGTTTTCTATGTAGTAGGATCTGTACAATTATGATAGAGGGTAAATTGTTTTCTATGTAGTAGGATCTGTACAATTATGATAGAGGGTAAATTGTTTTCTATGTAGTAGGATCTGTACAATTATGATAGAGGGTAAATTGTTTTCTATGTAGTAGGATCTGTACAATTATGATAGAGGGTAAATTGTTTTCTATGTAGTAGGATCTGTACAATTATGATAGAGGGTAAATTGTTTTCTATGTAGTAGGATCTGTACAATTATGATAGAGGGTAAATTGTTTTCTATGTAGTAGGATCTGTACAATTATGATAGAGGGTAAATTGTTTTCTATGTAGTAGGATCTGTACAATTATGATAGAGGGTAAATTGTTTTCTATGTAGTAGGATCTGTACAATTATGATAGAGGGTAAATTGTTTTCTATGTAGTAGGATCTGTACAATTATGATAGAGGGTAAATTGTTTTCTATGTAGTAGGATCTGTACAATTATGATAGAGGGTAAATTGTTTTCTATGTAGTAGGATCTGTACAATTATGATAGAGGGTAAATTGTTTTCTATGTAGTAGGATCTGTACAATTATGATAGAGGGTAAATTGTTTTCTATGTAGTAGGATCTGTACAATTATGATAGAGGGTAAATTGTTTTCTATGTAGTAGGATCTGTACAATTATGATAGAGGGTAAATTGTTTTCTATGTAGTAGGATCTGTACAATTATGATAGAGGGTAAATTGTTTTCTATGTAGTAGGATCTGTACAATTATGATAGAGGGTAAATTGTTTTCTATGTAGTAGGATCTGTACAATTATGATAGAGGGTAAATTGTTTTCTATGTAGTAGGATCTGTACAATTATGATAGAGGGTAAATTGTTTTCTATGTAGTAGGATCTGTACAATTATGATAGAGGGTAAATTGTTTTCTATGTAGTAGGATCTGTACAATTATGATAGAGGGTAAATTGTTTTCTATGTAGTAGGATCTGTACAATTATGATAGAGGGTAAATTGTTTTCTATGTAGTAGGATCTGTACAATTATGATAGAGGGTAAATTGTTTTCTATGTAGTAGGATCTGTACAATTATGATAGAGGGTAAATTGTTTTCTATGTAGTAGAATCTGTACAATTATGATAGAGGGTAAATTGTTTTCTATGTAGTAGGATCTGTACAATTATGCAATTTTAAAACTGATTGGATGAATTTGATACAAAAGACTCAGAGGGCAACAAGTATGTGTATAGTTGTCATGCATTAAAGTGCATTGATCATAGTGAGTACGTTGTATATACTTTTTAAGAGCACATTTAGTAGATGAGTTTTAGATTTATTCCAAATAGCCATAACACATTCTTGATTTTGATAATTAAAAACAGTTTTGAAAACAATTATTTGCAAAGAATTTGAAAGTCCATTGAGTAATATATACTGTAAATATGCTGACAATTTCTATAAAAACTGTTACTTATGGTAAGGAAATAATCTGATAATGTGTTTCTCCTTTGTGTTAAACACAGTTCTGAAGTTAGGTAGTAGATGGTTACAATCCTCTTGTCACTCTGTTACAGGTCCAGCAGCGCCAACTGGTGGTCACTGGCAGAATCTTTGTCATCATCAGTGTCAAGTCGAAGGTGATGACTAAGGGCAACATCCTTAAGCTTGGAGTCAACTTCCAGCCTGACGTCATCAATCTGTCGAAGGAGGTCTGTTTTATCATTTCTTTATTGTTTGTGATTGTTGGCCTGTTTCCGAATCATTGTTGTACAATTTTCATAATAATTAAATTGATGTTAGTGTTTTGTCTATTTTGAACCTATGCAATAAAAACATTGGATTAAGGTGTTATATATATGCTGGCACACCAATTTAGATAAATTTAAAATATTCTGCTTCCTTATATTCCTGTGCTAGTTACTTACACTAGACTTGTATCTACTGCCAGGTTCGCAACATGAGGTGGCTCGGATTCCGTGTTCCCCTTGCCATCGTCAACAAAGCCCACCAGGCCAACCAACTGTATCCCTTCGCTATTTCCCTTATAGAGAGTGTCCGCACCTACGAACAGACTCGAGAGAAGGTAAAACAAGAATCCTGCCTGGAATGATATTATGTCTACTGATGATTACAAAGATGTAATTATCACTGATAGATCTTCTATAATAGAAAATATTGCATTTTACAAGCCATTTACTATTTGCTTTGAAGTATCAAGTGCATGCAATTGTTAATATTTACAATTTGTATTATTTTTAACTAACGATCCTTTATCGCCTGCTCTCTATCCTCAGATTGATGAACGGGCCTCCATCATGTTGCTTGTAGCTGGTCTTCGCAAAGAGGTGCAGAACCTGGTCGCAGAGGTAAGATTTGTACAGGGCTTCTTGATTAAGTTATTCCATGAAAGATGTTATTGTTGAAATAAGAATGATAATCTAAATATAGATATTGTCTTATTAGCCTCCCCTTAATGATCATTCATTTTCAGTTCAGAAAGAAAAATATTCTTTTAACTTAAAAACATTCTGTGATACTGAGACTTTTATTCTCTTTTCAATGGACATTGATGTTGGTTATTCTAGGGTGTACAACTGGTCTGGGAGTCTTACAAACTGGATCCCTATGTACAGAGGCTTGCTGACACTGGATTTAACTTCCAGGAAAAGGTTTGTGGTGTTAAAAAATATGATATTATTGCTCATTTTCTTGAGAAATTAATCTGCGGAATTATATAAATGTATATTGGGGCTAACATGATGTACAATGTACCTCTGGAAGCTTTTGCACTTTTGGTAAGAAAGGAAAAAGTCAACAAATACACATCCTATTTTCTGGCATTAGCCCATGAGAATGAACAAGATATTACCATTTGATATCTTGTAAGCTGCATTATTGAAAACATCCCGCAGATATGGATGTATCCAAAGATGACTGATTAATTACAAGAATTCAGTAAGTGTTACGTTGTTTTGTTGATTTAGTATTAATTATTTTGCATGTATATGGATTGCTATTTCATGCCTTTCTATGAAACAGTCGCTATGTATTTCCCTATTACATAAATGTTGGGACCAAAGTGATGCCCAGGGTGCTGAGGACAAGCTTTAAAAGATGTTGTGGTCAACCCAACTAGCTATTTCCCTTTTGTCTCATGTGTTCAGGGTACTGGTAAATCATTTTAGAGCATTTTCCTGGAATGAAATTGTTCCCTGGCTTATTGTGATTTCTATGGATTTTTAGTTGGAGCAACTGTCAAACTTGTATTTCTGTTGACTGTCTAGGTGGATGACTTGGTGGCAATGGAGGAAGAGATTGAGCTGGAGGTGAAGGCCCTGGAGACATGTGCCTACAGTAACGCCACTTTCTGTGAGATCTTAGGCAAGATTCAAAAGGCAGTAGACAACCTCAGTCTGCACGGCTTCTCCAATCTACAGCAGTGGGTGGCCAAATTAGACCAGCAGGTAGGCATTTTTGTCATCTGTTGATCCGGTTAATCACTGAATATGGGGAATGTATGGGGATTATAAAGACACAAAACTAATAACTGGGATAAAAATCAGATGGTTAAGCTACACATTACCTATTGTTATCTTCTCACGTTTTCACATCACTTTTGTATGGTTTTTTTTCTGTTTATACAATAACCAAGCTTTTTCATTTATACTGTACTGTATGATGTAGGTTGAGTCTAAGTTGGCTGCACGGCTGGAGGCAGGCTTAAAGGCATGGACACAGTGCCTGAAGCAGAATAAGGAGGACACCATGGATCACACCATGGACACGGATGCTCCACAACAAGTGGCCCATAAACCGGGGGGTGACCCCAACATCAAGGTAGGCCATAGAAAGAGGAGCGGTAGTTCATAGCCAAAGTATTCTCAGTGATTTTTGTAGAAATTTTTCAGGTGAGTCATTAGCATCTTTTTTGATATTTTGATGAGTTTAATTATTAAGATATATAATAGGTTCTCCAAATTTGACAAGTTCAACAAAATAAACAAGTGTCTAGGACTGAAAGATTTGGGTCCCAAAAATAACTGATTCTCTATTCTTTCTTTTGAATTTTTTGAATAACTTTTTATGGTTTATTCAATACTTATTTTTGAAAACTATACTTATTCAATTTTCAGGGTTTGATCCATGAGCTTAGAATCACCAACCAACTGATCTACGTGAATCCGCCGATAGAGGAGGCTCGTGTCAACATAATGCAGGAACTATTTGGCTGGGAAGCCGTCATCACAAGTCTGCCTCGCATCAGGCACTCCAGGTACCAGGTATGTACTGCACCTCTCACAAGTTTCTAACAGGTCTGATCACATAGTGGTTACTGGGCCGATCACAAATTCTATATAGCGTAGGTCTCAAATTGTTACAGGGCTATTGACAAATTGGTTAAGGTAATAGGATTGTGTCGCCATTTCTCAGTAGAATTTCTTCAAATTTTGTAGTTATATTGCTTTGAAATAAAAAAATTCTGTCACAAAAAAAATATAGGTTGCCAGAATTTTAAGGATTTTAAATGGAAATTTATGTAAAAAAGAGTGAATTTTGAAAAAAAAATGAAACACAATTTTTTCCAAAATAATGTCAATGAAAATGATACTGACATAGATTAGTATTGCATTAATGTATATCAATTTCATAAATGCTGAAATTGTGTAAAATTAATTATCTATAAACGATTAAAAATTGACATTTTATAATAAACCCATATACACATAGTAATTGCATGCAAGAATTATTGTTCTTGTAAAACTTTACAGTAGTGAAAAAGGTAGCCGGTTCGTGAAGTACAGAAAAATGGACACCTGTGACTCATTTATTAAAAAAAAAACTGAATTAATTTGGATAGCTTTGAAATACTTTGATATTGAAAGAACACACTGTTCTGTCAATAAACAACATACAATATTCATCAGTTTAATATTAAACATTAGAATATGCGGAAATTGTGATACTGTCTCCCTACATTGGGTTTTCAACTAGGGATTTACTTCCTATTTCCGTTTAGCAATACAATCCTATGACCTTAAATAGCCAATCACAGATTGGCAGCAGGTAGGATTACATATTGGTATAAACTGAAATTACCATGTATTGGTAAAGAGAAATGAGTAGGAATGTAGTAGGAAATGAGTTTATCTTTCTTTCTGTTAAAATAATTTAATGTGATTGTCACTAAAATTCCAACAAAAAAGGATAATTCCTACATGTATTTTTCTCTTGGGTGTAGGTTGGCCTTGATGTGGAGTCCGAGTCAGAAACAACATACCGTAATGTACTGACCAAGCTTCCCAGTAGTCAGATCATTCTGGAGGATGTTTATCAAGCTATAGAGGACACCATGAAGGAATTCTCTGGCTACGTCAAAGTAAGTTTTCATTCTTAACCCATTTTGTCTCATGCTCTTCAATAACTATGTGACTGATAGCAAGTCTCAAACTGAGGTTGCAGTCCTTGTGTATTAGCTATATTCAAACATGCTTATTGATGTCTGTTAGGTGTGGTTGAGGTACCAGTCGCTGTGGGACCTGAACCCTGACGTGCTATACAGCCGCCTTGGTAACAAGCTCAAAGTGTGGATGGCTACCCTTGAGGAAATCAAGTAAGTCCTGTAAACATATGGAGTATGGAAAAGCATTTGACTGAAACCTTTTTTGGTAAACAATTCTTTTCATATACAAGGTAGCAAGGTTTAAAATTTCAGCATTCATATTATACTTTTAACTTTTTTATCCATCATATTAGATAGCATGATTACATTCCTAATATTGTAAATCCCATTTGTTACAGAGCCTCCAGGAAAACATTTGATACTTCTGACACTCAGAAAGAGATTGGACCAATTATTGTACAGTATGGTAAGGTACAGTCCAAGGTGAGTCTCAAGTATGACTCCTGGCACAAAGAGGTCCTCAGCAAGTTTGGCTCACTCCTTGCCACAGAAATGCAGGACTTCCATGGAATCGTCTCCAAGGTAAATAGATATATATAGAACAACTGACATTCACTGATATATATTTCATTAAACATTGTCAGATCAAATTCAGGTTTAATGTTATTATTATTAAGTGTTAGTTGGCAAGAGTGGATTTTGTTGATTAATTGCCTTGTGTGTCATATATGTTATCAGTGTATTCCTGTTTATTTAGTCACGGACAGAATTGGAGCAGCAGTCTATAGACACGGCCAACACCTCGGAAGCTGTGTGTCTCATCACTCAGGTCCAGGCTCTCAAACGCAAAATGAAAACCTGGGAGAAGCAGGTGGAGGTAAGGACCCATTCACAAACAACGCCATGATTTCCCATTGTTTAATCCTCTCAATGGTTTTAATGTTTAATTTGTCAGTAGTATATTCAACAATTACTGTATCCTAGAAATATATATCCTTCACCAATAAAATCTATATTTGCCAAATGTTCATTTTGATCTTCATATTGGAAATATTATGAATAACAATGTGTGCTTATATTTGCCTTCCTGATGAATTTGTCCTTATTATGGATGATAGTGAGGGAAACAGTTTTAAAATGTGTCCCAACACTTTATCGTATGCAATAACTAGAAAATAAAGAGTAAAAATGCAGTTGATTTTCAAAAACAATCTTACAGATCCAGGAGACAACATAATACAAGTACTATGTGTACAAGATTGGTTTTTAGTGCATGGTGCAGAGAGTAATCTGTTGTTTCTTTAACTAGATGTACAATGAAGGACAGAGGATCCTGGAGCGACAGCGATTCCAGTTCCCAACCAACTGGTTGTACAGTGACAACATTGAGGGAGAGTGGAGTGCCTTTAATGACATCATGAAGCGCAAGGACTCGTCCATCCAGACACAAGTAGCTAGCCTCCAGATGAAGATCGTATCTGAGGACAAAGTCGTGGAGAGCAAGACCGGCGACATGCTACAGGAGTGGGACAAGGAGAAGCCTGTCGATGTGAGTAGTCCATACACTACATGCAAATTTGTATCAAAAAACTGTTCTGAAGAATGTCTTATCTACATATAGTTTGTTTTCAAAATCTTACTATATATAAACTTCTGTAAACTTCAAATAAACAGTCTGAAGAATCTCCTTGAAAAGATGAAAGTACTAAAGACTCGTTGATAATTTTTCTTTCGTAAGGATCATTTTTCTGCTTTTATAATAATCTTCTGTATATATTTCTGTGATAAATTTCATCCAATGGGCCTTTTAGGGAGCAATGCGTCCAGACATGGCCACAAAAGCTCTGACGATATTTGAGGGTAAATTCACTCGCTTGAAGGAGGAAAGGGACAATGTTGCCAAGGCCAAGGAAGCACTGGAGCTGTCCGAGCCAGGTGAGATTAAAGGAAGGGCTTGAAACAGATAGAAGGCAAGGTTTGATAAGGTTAGGGGTGAAGGCTAAAATATGATAAATAGTCCTGGAAAGGTTAGGAGGTCACTGGAACAGGTGTGAGGCGATACTGTGATATATATGATAAGTGCTGTAGCAGATAGGGCTGGGCTTAAATAGATCAGAAAAGGTGTGCGGCAGTTCTGCAATAGGTATTATCCGTGCTGAAACAAATTAGGCTGGACTAAGTATACCTGGAGAGGGCTGGAACAAGTTTAATCTGGTAATGTAACTGGAAAGGTGAGTGCTTTTACAGATGGGGCTAAATAGATACAGGCAAAGTTTAACATCGATGGCAGAGAGCTAGGTTCCATGGCTCATGGCTGTAATAGGTTAATAGGTTGGGATTGATAATATTTCTTGTGAAATGTTTAAATATATATTATGAGGTCCTAACTATGCTGATTAAGTATTGTATTTACTAAGTAATTAATATGCCTTGTGTTCTTGAATATCACAGGTCAAATGAGTCCCAGTGAGGAGCGTGTCCTGGTAGCTCTTGAGGAGTTACAAGACCTGAAGGGTGTATGGTCTGAGCTGTCCAAGATCTGGGAACAGATAGATGAGCTCAAGGACAAACCCTGGCTGTCTGTGCAGCCCAGAAAGGTAAGCTGAGCTCAAGGACAAACCCGGGCTGTTTGTACAGCCAAGGAAGGTAAGATGAGCTCAAGGACAAACCCTGGCTGTCTGTGCAACCCAGAAAGGTAAGCTGAGCTCAAGGACAAACCCTGTCTGTTTGTACAGCAAACCCTGTCTGTTTGTACAGCCCAGGAAGGAAAGATGAGCTCAAGGACAAACCCCGGCTGTTTGTACAGCCCAGAAAGGTAAGATGAGCTCAAGGACAAACCCTGGCTGTTTGTACAACCCAGGAAGGTAAGATGAGCTCAAGGACAAACCCTGGCTGTTAGTACAGCCCAGAAAGGGAAGATGAGCTCAAGGACAAACCCTGGCTGTTTGTACAGCGCAGGAAGGTAAGATGAGCTCAAGGACAAACCCTGGCTGTTTGTACAACTGGGGATGGTAATGTACTTTTATGTCCCTGCCATGTGCTCTGAGGGGGCAAACATTGCTTTCCATGTTTGTCCTATCACGTCACGTCACATTCTTTCTGCTGTCTTCACAATAGTGATTTTATTTTTGAACAGATTTTGATCAAACTGTAAAGTTAAATATAAGAATACCTTGAATGAGTTCAGTGTTTCAGGGTTCCACTGCCAAGGTCATGGTCACTAACATTATTTACAAAAATCTGTCAACCAATTCAGTGGCATCAATTCAACCACTTTCTTTGTTAACCAATTTTTATCAATCTTTTTACAAATGACAAGTATGAGGTCAGCTGTCAAGGCCACTGTTACTATTTCCAGAAATTTATGAAAAAAATTACCCTAATTTGTATGGGAGTTCACAGACGTTTACTAGTTAGAATGTGGACCTCAAACTTCTGTATCCAGATAAACTGAAGTTCATTTTATGAATTGTGTCTCAGATTCCAGATGAAAAATCGTAACATATGAGTTGACAAAGTCACGCACCTTATTTTGAGGTCAAGGTTACACAAATATTAGGCGACAAACGTTTACTTTTCCCTTCTCTATTATCTGTGCATATGAATATTATGAATATAAATACAAGAGATATAATTTTTGTCATCAGATTCGTCAGTCATTGGATGGGCTGTTGAACCAGTTGAAGGATTTACCTGCCAGACTTAGGACGTATGCCTCGTATGAACATGTCAAGAGGACTTTGCAGACTTACGCTAAGGTAACAACCAAATGATTGCTCACTTTTGAAGCTTGAGTGCAAAACCTAATAATGGCATTAATAATATGTAGGCGTGTAAAAGAGTAAAACTTAGCTTGTTTTTCTCACGTCGGAGTTTCTGTAAGTTCCATTAAATGTCTTGAATTTAATAAATTGGTTTGTAACATACTTTACAATAAATTTGTGTAAAAAAAGTGCATATGTTAAAGTATTTTAGTGTCTTACTCACTAGAAATATACCTACATATTTCGTTAAGATGTTTGGTATGTAAATCCTTGTGTAGGTGAACATGATGATTGTGGAGCTCAAGTCTGAGGCTCTGAAGGAACGTCACTGGAGACAACTGACCAAACGACTCAATGTCCGCTGGGCATTGTCAGAGCTGACTCTCGGACAGGTCTGGGATGTGGACCTCATCAGAAATGAACCCATCATTAAGGATGTGATCCTGGTGGCTCAGGGAGAAATGGCTCTTGAAGAGTTCCTCAAGCAGGTATGCATTCGTAACTGTCTATCCTGTACAATGAACTTTTTTTAGTACTGATCTTGTGGTTTCCAGAAGAATCGGGGAACTTTCCGATGAATAATGTATAAATATCAAAATGAATATATATACTGATGTCTGAAAAGAGAATGTTGTTTGATATTTGTAATGTTCCATTTTATTGTTTGTGCTCTAGGCCAGTATGAATGCTAATCGATTATCTATTTCATGACGCTTACGAGGTTAAGTTTGTATAAAATAAAAGTGAAAAAAGGTACTCCATTACACATATAGGGTGAAATGCTTGTGCTTTTCTATTGAAAGGTTAGCGAAGTTTGGAGATCTTACGAGCTGGACCTGATCAATTATCAAAACAAGTGTCGACTGATCCGAGGCTGGGACGACCTTTTCACCAAGGTCAAGGAGCACATCAACAGTGTGACTGCCATGAAACTCTCACCCTACTATAAGGTGAGACACCCCTCAATAAAATATTTAATATAAACATTTATAATTTATTTACATTGGTATGTCTCGGTATGTACACTTGGAAAGGAAAGCAACCAAAAGTAAAGCTTGATGTATGAACATTTACTCTGTATATTGTGGAGGCATATCACTTTTTATTAAAAAATCTTTCCAGCAATTTGAAGAAGATGCTTTAGCCTGGGAGGACAAACTGAACCGCATCAACGCTCTGTTTGATGTGTGGATTGATGTGCAGAGGCGCTGGGTCTACCTGGAGGGAATATTCACAGGAAGTGCTGACATCAAACATCTGCTCCCTGTGGAGACATCACGATTCCAAGGGTATTCCTTACAATTTAACCTACCTTTATTGAAATATTTGAGCTTGCATTTAATTCATTATTAAATTGTATCTTAACATGACATTTTGCATGAAAGTAGATTGAAATTTGATTGCTTTGGTTGCCAAATATAGTTATCATTTTAAATTAAGATTTTAAGAAATTAAGATCTTTTAAAATTGGCCATACATTATTTATTGTCACTTCTTAGAAAACATCTATATGTGATTATTTTTGCAGCGTGAGTACTGAGTTCCTGGGTCTGATGAAGAAAGTTTCAAAATCTCCCCTTGTAATGGATGTTGTCAACATCAATAATGTCCAGAGACAACTAGAGAGGCTGGCCGACCTGCTTGGCAAGATCCAAAAGGCCCTAGGAGAGTACCTGGAGCGAGAGAGGGCATCCTTCCCCAGGTACGTTGGGCATAACATTAGAATAAGTACATGGAGCAAAAGAGGATATCCTTTCCGAGTGAAGTAAAAAAACAGGGTAGGGTTAGTACTTGGAGCAGGTGAGAGCATCTTCTCAAGGTAACTTCAACACAGAGTTTGAGTAGTTACATGGTGTGAAAGAGGGTATCCTTCTCTCGGTATATCCGACACAGAGTGAGTACCCTGAGTGAGAAATAACTGCCTGCCACAGGTACATCGGCCCTCACAAAGTAAAGAACATGCACATTTAATAGTATGTCCCCTATTTACCTTGAGAGATACTAAGGCACAAAAGGTTGTACACAATTAACACTAGTATTTTTATTTGATTCCAGGTTTTACTTTGTCGGTGATGAAGATTTACTGGAAATCATTGGAAACAGTAAGAATGTGACCCGTTTACAGAAGCATTTCAAGAAGATGTTTGCGGGTGTTACTTCAATCCTACTGAATGAGGACAGTTCCCAGGTGGTCGGTCTGCTGTCCAAGGAGGGCGAGGAGGTAAGTAGCACTAGCTACTTTGTTAGGTAACTCACAGTCTACAAGTTACTCTACATTTCTTAATGATAAATTCAAACAGAAGCCAGTAGGTCTGGTTCCTATTTTTCACCGTACTTATAGTTTAAATATCATTGTTGCTTTGTTGTAGGTACAATTTGCCACCCCAGTATCAATTGCAGCCAACCCCAAAATTAACGAGTGGCTGACACTGGTGGAGAAGGAGATGAGGGTGACACTGGCCAAACTCCTAGCCTCCGCAGTCCATGATATTGCTGCCTTCAAAACCGGCAACATTGACCCCACCAAGTATCTACAGTGGGTCGACACTTACCAGGTTAGTTCCATAGAGGTGATGTTAACAAATAGATCAAGGCTTAAAGGCCTTTTGTCTACAAAAATTGTTTCTTCTATAGGTGAAAGAATGTATCAAAATTTTGTAACAGAGACAGAAATGTCAAACTGAGGAATGAGAATAAAAAGCCTCCATCATACTGTGATGGCTGATTATTATTCTCCTGTTGTGAATCTCAGGATAGTATTCACATGTAGGTCAGTGTTATGTGCGTGAAGTAAGTAGTTGTAGGATACCAGTGGCCATTATTATAAATAACGAGTTATACCTCCGTTTTTGTGTTGGAGACTCATTGTTTTTGTGAGAATTAATACTGCAGTTTTTGTGCGACAGGCTCCATGTTTTCAGAGTTTATGTTTCTGTGTGACAGGCCCAGTTGGTGGTACTGGCGTCCCAGATTGCCTGGTCTGAGAGTATAGATGCTGCCCTTGGTGCCATTGCTGCACAAAAGAATGTCGAGGACCTCAAACCAATGAACAATGTCCTACTAATGGTGGAGTCCACTCTAAATGTCCTCGCTGACTCGGTCCTTACAGAACAACCTCCAGTCCGAAGAAAGAAACTGGAACATTTGGTGAGTGTTGGCATCGATGAATAGATTCGGACCAATGCGAGAGATAAAATTTGAAACATTTGAAACAACTTAATCCTCATTTAGATGTTTTAAGATTTTGGAATCAGGTAGAACTTCTTTCTCCTGAAACTCAGAACTTTTCTGACTCTTATGACATCAGATAGAATAGTTTGTATAAACATATCATGTTTGTCACGTGTTGCTAATAAATTGAATGTTATGTTATCATATTTGTCTGACTCTAATCTTGTTTTGATTTTTTTTAGACATTTTGAAAAATGTTGTGTCTTTTGAAAATATTCTAATTAACTTATTGCAGTTAGATAAACATAATCAATCATCACTCATTTAGGAGTCATTGTCCGTGTTACTCGGAGCAAATACAGAGGTATGTGTAATGTGGTTATTGCAATTCTTACTTGAGCACTGTCATTGTGTGTGATTTAGATATTTGTCCACTTCAGATCACAGAGCTGGTGCACCAGAGGGGTGTCACTCGGAACCTCATCAAACAAAAGGTCAATAACCCAAAAAACTTTGACTGGCTATGTAATATGCGGTTTTACTTTGACCCGAAGAACACAGAGGTACTGCAGCAGCTATCCATTCAGATGGCAAATGCCAGATTCAACTACGGCTTTGAGTACCTCGGGGTGCAGGACAAGCTGGTACAGACCCCACTTACTGACCGCTGTTACCTTACCATGACACAGGCCCTGGAGGCCAGACTTGGTGGCTCACCATTTGGTAGGTAGTCGCTGTACACTTCCATCCATCAGCAGACATAGACATCCCTCCACCACACCAGCAATAGATACACTCTGTAATATAATTATTATACACTACCCTACCACAACAATCTTAAACATGCTCTTTTCCTGCGTAATGTTAACGGTGTTTGCATGTGGCCTTGTTTTCTTTGTAGGACCTGCTGGTACTGGTAAGACAGAGTCTGTTAAGGCTCTTGGAAATCAGCTTGGAAGATTTGTACTGGTGTTCAACTGTGATGAGACCTTTGACTTCCAGGTATGTATAGACTTGGACTCTGTGATCAATCTACAATTAGTTTTTATGAATCCTTTCTACTGTATTGTTTAAAAGTTCAAAATTGCGGTCCCACTATGTTAAATTATCACATTTCCAGAAATCCAATCAAAATGATTTGAATACATCGATGAATACTCTACCTCCTGTTTTAGATGCTGATCTTATGATACTAATGCTAGTGTTGTAATACCGACCATATTGTACTTCTAGGCTATGGGCCGTATCTTTGTTGGTCTGTGCCAAGTGGGCGCCTGGGGATGTTTTGATGAGTTCAATCGACTGGAGGAGAGGATGTTGTCGGCCGTCTCCCAACAGATCCAGACAATCCAGGAATCTCTGAAGGAACTGGCAACAAAAGGAAAACAAGGTAGGAGTAGGGAGCTTATTCATTTCTCTACCAGACATCATGTTTTTTATGTTAGTATTTTTCTGCAAGTGAGAATATTTTCAAAATGTTGTAACACCCTAAAATACCTGCAGCCTATAATTGTCTTTGGAAAAATATTAAGGAGTTACAGAAATTTGGCAGGTTAATAACTTTTCAATATCTTCATGCAGTAGAAATAAAATGGGGATCAGAACACCAACTTGTATTTATCTATGATAATTTATAAGTAAATTTCATAGAAATATATTACTCCAAACAAATATTTCATTGTTGATCATGAATATCCTAATGTTTCAGTATCCCATATTATTGTGGAACTAATTGGGAAACAAGTGAAGGTGAATGCTGACATGGCTGTGTTCATCACCATGAACCCTGGTTATGCTGGCCGTTCAAACCTGCCTGATAACCTCAAAAAACTGTTCCGTAGTTTAGCCATGACCAAGCCAGATCGTCAGCTCATTGCCGAGGTGATGCTCTACTCACAGGGTTTCAGGACAGCAGAGAAACTTGCCTGCAAGATCGTTCCTTTCTTCAAGTAGGTATTGGTCCCATGGGGATTCATACAATGATGAGCTTTTTAATTTCAACAATTATTTAAAAGCTATTGAACGTCAAATATAATCACATGTTGTAAGGGAAATAGGAAAAAATAGCATTTATATGTGATTTATGAGATTTATGTACATTTATTAGCACTCCTTGCCCTTTGATACTTTCAACAGACTCTTGACAGTTCATACTTGACTTGCGACAGTCCCTGTTTATTTGTTAGACTTTGTATTTTGATTGCAAGTCTGATTTTGTATTTTACTTGTTTCAGGCTCTGTGATGAGCAGCTGTCACCCCAATCTCACTACGACTTTGGGCTGCGAGCCCTTAAGAGTGTCCTGGTTAGTGCAGGAAACGTCAAGAGAGATCGCATCACATGTTTGAAACAAGGTTTGCTGGACCGTGGAGAACCTGTTGACGAGACAGTTATTGCAGAGAACTTGCCAGAACAGGAGGTAATCATTGATGTACTGTGGTGCCAGGACCTTTGTAGGGTCCACAAGAGATGTGGGTGCTGTATATATATAGTATTCAAAGTTATGTTTCCATGTCCGTTTGTCCATCCATCCACACTCTCTATAACAAGGTTACTGAATATAGGAAAGGGGGGTTGTGTTTACTGACAAAAATATGTATTGTAAATAACTGATTCACCAGTGGCACACTTTTGTTGATGGTAAATAATACTTAATGGAAAGTCTATATTATGAATTAGGGCATAATTATCTGGATCCCATAATCAAAGATGGCAACCAATCCCAGCCATGCTTTTCTACTGGCTGAGACCATTTGAAAAAAATATTTTTGTCCTGGTGGTCTGCTTTTGTTAGGTCACCTGAGCTATGCTCAAGTGACCTTTTCTGATCGCTTTCTTGCCGTTGTTGTCTCTCGTCCATTGTGCGTAAACGTTTTAGGTCACCTGAGACAAAGTCTCAAGTGACCTATTGCGATCGCCTTTTGTCCGTCGTCGTCCGTCGTGCGTCCGTAAACAATTTACATTTTTGACTTCTTCTCCAAAACCCCTGAACCAATTTCAATGAAATTTTGTAGAAACCTTCCATGGCCAAAGGTCAACAAAAATAGTTGCCGGTTTGGTCCCTGGCCCCCAGGGGCCTGAGGGGCAGGACAAAAAGGGGCAAATTGACTAAAATTTCAAAAATCTTCTTCTCAAGACCCAGATATGGTAGAATCAAATACTCTTCATAGGTGGAAGGGTCTTAAGATGCTGTACCAAAATCGTGAATTTCTTGACCCTGGGGTCTCACGTAATGGGAGTCCCACAGGGTGGAATCCTATCAGTCACACTGTTTGGACTTAAAATAAATGATATAGTCAAATGTCTTGGTCAATCAACAGAAGGGTCGCTATTTGTGGATGACTTCTTGATCTGTTACAGATCTAAGAACATGCACACGATAGAACGACAACTTCAACAGAGTTTAAACAAACTACAAAATTGGGCAGACGAAAACGGCTTCAAATTCTCTAAATCCAAAACTGTGTGCATGCATTTCTGTCAAAAACGAAAAGCACACAATGACCCAAATCTAACACTCGATGGCACTAGAATTCCTGTTGTTGAACAGACTAAATTTCTCGGCCTCATTTTTGATTCGAAACTCTCTTTCATACCACATATAAAGTATCTGAAGGATAAGTGNAAGACCCAGATATGGTAGAATCAAACACTCTTCATAGATGGAAGGGTCTTAAGGTGCTCTACCAAAATTGTGAATTTTATGACCCTGGGGTCTCACTTGTACCCCTGGGGAGGGGGTAAACTTTACTATAGTTTATATAGGGAAATCACATTTTGGACCAACATTTGTTTAATTTTCATTGGAAGTAATTCAATTTGGGTTAGCATTATCAGTATTGGATAGCAGTTTGATGGTATGCACATATGAGCCCTGACTGACCCCCCGGGGCTGATGGGTGGGGCCAAAAAGGGTTGAATTGACTGAAATTTAAAAAAAAAAATCTTCTCAAAGACCCAGATATGGTAGAATCAAACACTCTTCATAGATGGAAGGGTCTTAAGGTTTATGACCATAGGGTCTCATGTTTACCCCCTGGGGAAGGAGAAGGAGGGGGGGGGGGCAAAATTTATTATGGTTTATAATGGCAAATGATACTTTGAATATTACATGTTAATAACTTGATTTTTTTTGTCACTAAATAATATTTCTGTTCGTGTTAAAAACAAAATCAACTCTATGTATAAATATATCAGGTGACCGTTAAGGCCCATGGGCCTCTTGTTACATTTTCAACTTCTCAAGAACCAGTGCATGGAATTTGTTCAAGCTTGGTCAGAATCATCCTTGGTAGATGAGGCTACAAAGTTGTAAATTTGGGATTCCTACACCAACATCAGGGGCCAGGGCGTGGCCCCAAAGGGAAAATTAACATTTTTTAGCTCACCTGGTCTGAAGGGATGGAAAGATCATCAGGGCCTTTGTTTAAATTGTAAGTTACAGTACCCCCAGGCCATCCGTTCTCCCTTGGGGAGGGGGTAAAGTTTACTCTCTAGTTATAAAGGGAAATAACATTTTTGGGTATATTTTGTCTATTTCCAGTAGGAATTGATTCAAACTTGGTCAGAATCATCCTTGGTGCAAGAGGGTATTACAATGTAAAATTGGGATTCCTGCCCCATCTCGGGGGAGCTAGGGTAGGGCCCCAAAGGGAAAGTTTACCAATATTTCAAAAGTTTTCTTCTTCAGACTTTTATGTACTACAATCAAATTCTGTGCATGGATGAAAATTCCATCAGGTGCTTTATCTACTTTTCTATTTCATTACCCCTGGGCCATCCATTCTCGCTTGAGGAGGGGGTAAAGTTGACTTTAGTTTTATATAGGGAAATAACACTTTTTGGTATAAAATTTGTCCATTTTAGCAGGAAATTATTCAAACTTAGTTGGAATGATTATGGTGCCAGATGGCAATTAGATGGTATGAGAACATGAGATCCTGTCCCATCCCCAGGGGCTGGAGGGGTGGGGCCAAAATGTGGAAAATCAAAAGTTAAAAAATCTTCTTCATCAGACTCAGATTGTTTACAAACAAACTATGTCTTGTCCATTTTCAGCAAGAAATAATTCAAACTCAGTTGGAATAGTTATAATGAAATTGAAATCAAATAGTATCAAAGTTTGATCCTGACCTATCTCAGGGGTTGGCCAGGGAGGAAAATTGGTTAATTACAATAAATATTATATTTCCAAAAAAGCAAAATGATTTATTTGAATAATTTTTTAAGTTCTACACATTTGGTGACATGACAAGTATTGTATTTCACTTTGTTTACATGTTGATTTCCACATCAACCTCTTGTTCATGAAAATATTATACATGTGCCTGATGATTGGTGTGTCTGCTGGTGGGCCGTTATTGGATATATAGATAGGGGCCTGATGATTGGTGTGGCTGCTGGTGGGCCGTTATTGGATATATAGACAGGATCAAGCATGTGGAGGGACGCTTGCTGACCTGTCATTGTTCTAGTTGTGATGTGTAGTTGACTACAACGTACTGTTGTGTTTGCCCAGATCCTGATACAGAGTGTGATGGAAACAATGGTTCCTAAACTGGTGGCTGAAGATATCCCACTGCTCAACAGTCTGCTGTCTGACGTGTTTCCTGGGGTTGACTATAACCCTGCTGGTATGTCAAATCTTCGCCAGGAAATCAAACGTGTCTGCCAAGAGATGTACCTTGTGTATGGGGAGCAGGATGAACAGGGTGCCCACTGGGTAGATAAGGTAAGGTCCATAACTCTTGTATTATTCTGATTGGTCAGGTTGTTGAAAAATATATCTGCTTATGCCGTTGAATTAATTAATACGATGTACCTTAAAGATGTATGTTATTTTTTTTGAGTGATCACTGTTTTAATGATGTAGAGATGAAATTATGTGAAATTACTGAAATAATTACTGAGCTTTTGAATACAGGTGCTCTAGCTGTACCAGATAATTACTGAGTGTTTGATTACAGGTGCTCCAGCTGTATCAGATAATTACTGAGCTTTTGATTACAGGTGCTCCAGCTGTACCAGATCACTCAGCTCCATCATGGCCTCATGATGGTTGGCCCGAGTGGTAGTGGCAAATCTACTGCGTGGAAGGTCCTTCTCCGAGCACTGGAGCGTCTCGAGGCCACAGAGGGTGTTGTTCATGTCATAGATCCAAAGGTGTGTAGTTGTGAGAAGTGGTTCACATGGAATCTGTAAAGAGACACTGTTGATCAAACATATTCATTATCTTTAAAATATGCCATTAAATTTTATGTTTTTATGTAATTTTATGTTTTGGGAAACAACATTTCATTTTAAAATAATGTGATCAACCCAATTCAATAAAATATGAACAGGGATAAGGTATACTGTAATTATAAACATTATCACTGCTGCTACCATGAACTAAGGTTGTTATCTCACTCTTCTGTTTAGTCCATCTCCAAGCAGATCCTGTATGGTAGTCTGGACCCAAACACCAGGGAATGGACAGATGGTCTCTTCACACACATTCTCAGAAAGTAGGTACCAGTGATAGAGTGCAAGTCTTTTACTATCAATTTCCAAAATATTTTCATATCATGTGTCAAGTAAGACACAGATGCTACATAAGAAAATGTCATTATTAAGTTGAAACATTTTCAACATAACATTATATACCAAATAAATCCTGAAGTTTTCAGTGGCATGTAATTTTGATAATGAGAAGAATTGTGAGAATTTCATTTGATATTTTGATAATTTTCCTACCACTCAGGATCATAGACAATGTGAGAGGAGAATTACAGAAGAGACAGTGGATCATCTTCGATGGAGATGTCGATCCAGAATGGGTGGAAAATCTTAACTCTGTACTTGATGACACCAAACTACTGACACTCCCTAACGGAGAACGACTGGCCATTCCCCCTAATGTAGGTATAGTCCTCTCGGGTAACATTAACTATGCTATTCTCACCCAACTTTAGTACAGTCATGTTATATGTACTTCTGTAATATGTGTAACCCAGTAGTTTATAATGAATGGAACATGAAAATGAACTACAAATGTTTGTCGTTTACAGGTGCGGATCATGTTTGAGGTACAGGACCTGAAGTACGCTACACTTGCCACTGTCAGTCGCTGTGGGATGGTTTGGTTCAGTCAGGATGTCCTGTCAACAGAAATGCTGTTTGAGAACTACCTATTACAGCTGAAGAACCTCCCAGTAGAGGAGGCTGAAGATGAGGGCTTCATGGGCCTGACCTCTAAGACTGAGGCCAAGGATGAAACTCTCTCACCAAACATGCAGGTACATTATCGTGTGCGAGTTGATCAGAGAAAACTTTTTGACAAGCACGAGTCTCTCACCAAACATTGGATATACAAGTGTGTGAACTGTGTGACAGAAATTCCAACCTAGTATGAGGAAGCATCTGCATTTTTTTGATGATTTTTGACTGTTTGAACATAATTTTTCAATGTAGACACTTTTAGATCCTTAAGTAGTAACTGGTTTTGTATCAAGTGTTGCTCACTAGATATTTAATAATGTCTGTCTGTTATCTTTCTCTTCTGGAATACTGAAGATGAGTCTGTTGTATAATTCATACTGTATGTTGAGTTCTAAGATCAGGATCTTTCCAAAATGGAAAGGTCAGAAATACAGGAACTTGTCATGAATGATATTTTTGTAACTTTTGCAATTCTCATTATCTCTTTGAAATTGTTTTAGGTTCAGAATGACTGTGCGGCCATCCTGGCACCCTTTTTCTCGTCCGATGGGATCATTGTACGATCCCTGGAGTATGCCAGGGACCTAGACCATGTGATGGACTTTACGAGGATGCGGGCCGTCACTTCACTCTTCTCCCTCCTCAACCAGGGCGTGAGGAATGTTCTGACCTACAACCACAACCATTCAGACTTCCCCATGCCAGTAAGTCAATTAGAAAACAAACCACTTATCAGTGCATTAGTTTGGAACAAAGTCATTCATGACATAACATTGACATAATTTACATTTTACTTGCATTTAAGATCGACTTTCACCAATATGTTGTTGTGTTTTACAGCAAGACCAGCTGGAAAAGTACATCAGCAAGTACCTCATCTACAGCTTGATTTGGTCCATGACCGGAGACGGACCACTCAAAATGAGGAAGGACATGGGCGAGTTCATCCGCAGCTGTACCACTACCTCCCTTCCCACAGCCTCATCTCATCCCATTGTGGACTATGAGGTAGGTACATCAACCTCCCTCTATGTCCTATCATTCTGTTGTGGATTTTGAGATGGCATCCACCCTCCCTGTAACAACCTAGCATTATATCACCCCTTTGAATGACGGTGGACACATATTAGCACAGGTCCATTGGTTCCCCTGGTTCCTCCAATAATATTAGACGTAGAAAATTATTTGGTATGTTTGATACCACGTATATGCTGTAACACGATGTCTTTGACATGTATGGCGTTGCTTTTTAGGTGTGTATCACTGGTGAATGGGTACCCTGGCAGTCCCGAGTGCCACAGGTGGAGGTGGAGACCCACAAGGTTGCCTCCCCTGACGTGGTCATCCCAACCGTTGACACTGTCCGACATGAGGCACTTCTCTTTACCTGGCTAGCAGAACATAAGCCCCTTGTCCTGTGTGGGCCTCCTGGCTCCGGAAAAACCATGACCTTGTTTAGCGCTCTGCGCTCACTGCCTGACATGGAGGTATGTACCATACAGTGTTGGTATCATTATGGATGGAGGAATATGATATTTGTCTTTATAACATCATTAAATTAGCACTCTGTTACATTATTAGCAAGTGTTTCTTTCCTCAGTAAATAATTGATACTGTTGTCGTATGGTGTTTTGTGGTCTAATGAAGAAAATTATTGTTTTAGATGCTGTATATGTATTTTGTTCTTGAAGGTTGTGGGTCTGAACTTCTCCAGTGCCACAACCCCTGAACTATTGCTGAAGACTTTTGACCACTACTGTGAGTACAAGCGTACTCCTAATGGTGTGGTCCTGTCTCCTGTCCAGATGAACAAATGGCTTGTCCTGTTCTGTGATGAAATCAACTTACCCAGCATGGACAAATATGGTGAGATATTCATTTTCTATACTTGACAATATATATATGATATGTCTTAAGTTGGAATTAAGAAAAACATATTTATTTTGAATGCGACATAATTTTATGACACCTTTTTGTGCTGGATAGGTACCCAGCGAGTGATATCCTTCCTCAGACAAATACTGGAGCATGGTGGATTCTTCCGCACATCTGACCAGAGCTGGGTGAAGTTTGAGAGGATCCAGTTTGTAGGAGCTTGTAACCCTCCAACCGACCCAGGCAGGAAACCCCTCTCTCACAGGTAAATATAAACACGGGAGCATGTAACCCCTCAACAGACCAAAACAGGAACTATGGGACATGTAACCCTCCAACCGACCCAGGCAGAAAACGCCTCTCTCACAGGTAAAAAAACACCTAAGGGATATGTAACCCCTCCAACCGACCCAGGCAGAAAACGCCTCTCTCACAGGTAAAAAAAAACCTAAGGGATATGTAACCCTCCAACCGACCAAGGCAGAAAACGCCTCTCTCACAGGTAAAAAAACCTAAGGGATCTGTAACCCTCCAACCGACCCAGGCAGAAACCCCCTCTCTCACAGGTAAAAAAACCTAAGGGATATGTAACCTTCCAACCGACTCAGGCAGAAAACGCCTCTCTCACAGGTAAAAAAACCTAAGGGATATGTAAACCTCCAACCGACCCAGGCAGAAAACGCCTCTCTCCCAGGTAAAAAAACCCTTAGGGATATGTAACCCCCCAATCAACCCATGCAGAAAACCCCTCTCTCACAGGTAAAAAAACCCTTAGGGATATGTAACCCTCCAATCAACCCATGCAGAAAACCCCTCTCTCACAGGTAAAAAAAAACCCTAAGGGATATATAACCCTCCAACCGACCCAGGCAGAAAACGCCTCTCTCACAGGTAAAAAAACCTAAGGGATATGTAACCCTCCAACCAACCCATGCAGAAAACCCCTCTCTCACAGGTAAATATAAACACAGAAACATGTAACCCCTCAACAGACCAAAACAGAAACTAANAACCCCTCTCTCACAGGTAAAAAAAACTAAGGGATATGTAACCCTCCAACCGACCCAGGCAGAAAACGCCTCTCTCACAGGTAAAAAAACCCTAAGGGATATGTAAACCACCCACAGATCTTGGACAGGAATCAAGTAGAAGATTCGTTTTGAATATTTTAAGTGTGCAGTTTAGGTAAAATAAAGTATTTCATGAAATGTATTGCATCTATTAACAGGTTCCTGCGTCATGTACCAATAGTGTATGTGGACTACCCTGGAAAGCTGTCCCTGACCCAGATCTACGGCACTTTTAACAGAGCCATGCTGAGGTTGGTGCCAAGCCTCAAACCCTATGCTGAGCCTCTAACCAACGCCATGGTCGAGTTCTATCTCTTGTCACAGGTATGTAGTACTAGAGGTATCAGATCTTGCTTAAAATGGCCTTCCGAATCCTTGATCTGAGCCTGAAGATTCTATTTAATGACTATTCTGATTATTATCATCTTCTGTGTTCTATAGGAACGATTCACCCAGGACATGCAGCCTCACTATGTTTATAGTCCTCGTGAGATGACACGTTGGGTCCGAGGAATCTGTGAGGCCCTGCGGCCCCTGGATAACCTTTCTGTAGAGGGCCTGGTTCGGATCTGGGCCCACGAGGCGCTACGGCTCTTCCAGGACAGGTAAGAATACTCACAGGAGATCATGATGTTTATCCGATACTTTAAGACGGGAGTTTTAGAAATGAATTTGTTGATCATTAAAATAGCAAATCCATGTTGAAGAGGGGAAATTAACATTTTAGCATGGCATGCATCCTAATATAAGTTTTTAAGTTGTAATGGACACTTGATTATTGTAAAAATAAAATCATAAGATTTTGGTGGAACGAGTAATGAATATAATTGCATAATATGACTACTTGTGATTGATTAGATTGATCGAGGACGAGGAACGGAAGTGGACTGATGTCAATGTAGACATGGTGGCTCTGAAACACTTCACCAACATCGACCGTGAAACTGCACTAGCACGGCCGATCCTCTACAGTAACTGGATGTCAAAGGATTATGTACCAATAGACAGAGAGGAACTGAGGGAATACACCAAGGCTAGACTCAAGGGGTGTATACTCTTCTATACCTCACCTCCAAATGTACCCTACCTCATCCTCAATACTATCTCACTACCAACCTAATCCCACCTCATCAGGAACCCCACCAATCATACTCTTCTTAACCCTTACCTCTACCTCCAATCCTACCCCACTACTTGTACTTTTCTTCAGCCCTGACTCTTCCCCACTCTAACATCTCCTATCTCACTCTCCCTACCTGACACCTACCCTAGCCCACCTTGACCCTTCAACCTGAACCATGCACCTCTCATACCTATTTCATCCTTGCTATACCCCTATCCACCCTCCTTCACCACTATCTCATTCCTATCTTGTCTCCACTCATATACTCAAACCCTACCCTCTCCCTTACACCACTCCAACATCATCCCTCCCCTCCCCTACCCCCTTTTTATCCCAGCCCTCTCATTATTGGGAGGATTTGAGAAAGTACAACAAAGGTTATCACTTGATTTATATTTCTGTAGGTCTTTTACGAGGAGGAGTTGGATGTACCCCTTGTACTCTTTGACGAGGTATTGGACCATGTTCTTAGGATCGACAGAATATTCCGTCAACCTCAAGGTCACGTCCTACTGATTGGGGTCAGTGGAGCAGGAAAGACAACTCTCTCGAGATTTGTGGCATGGATGAATGGCCTCAGTACATATCAAATCAAGGTGCACAACAAGTACACAGCAATGGACTTTGACGAGGACCTGAGGATTGTGCTGCGTAGATCGGGTTGTAAGGTCTGTAAAAACAACTTTTAAATCTTGCCAAATTTTTATCGTTCATGCATTTTCATAGACTGTTTTGCAAGTTCAAAATAAATAAGACAAGGGGATAAAACCTCGTGTGTTCAGAATAACGATAATGAGGTATACCCACCCTGATATTGTTACAGGATGAAAAGATAGCTTTCATTATGGACGAGTCCAATGTACTGGACTCCAGCTTCCTGGAGAGAATGAACACTCTGCTAGCCAACGGAGAGGTTCCCGGTCTATTTGAGGGGGATGAGTACACAACCCTGATGACCCAGTGTAAGGAGGGGGCCCAGAGGGAAGGACTCATGCTAGACTCGGGAGAGGAACTGTACAAGTGGTTCACAGGACAGGTAACCAAGCTTTTCTTCCTGGTCATGTTTACAAAGTAGGAGTGTGGACAGGAACTAGCTATATCATTTTTACAAAATATTTTTCAATAAGAGGCCAAGTTGCTGAAAGTATGTTGATATTTTTGAAAGAAGGGGTGCCAATTTGAAATTATTATTAAGGTCAGCTTGGAGACCATTCCGAGATATGAGGGGGTAGAGTGGGGGATCAAAATTACAAATGGACGCTTTGTGACAAAAATGCATGTTATTTTTGGAAAGTTCCTTCATTATTTTGGTGAATTAAAAATGGCCGAATAGAGTAGCACATAGTTGACAAGTAGGTCACTGTGACCTTGTTATATCCCGATGCTTTTTGAACCCCTTATTCTTAAGGTTTGGTTAAGATACTTATTAATGCAATTTGGTAAGATTATTGTATGGTTCTAATTTCTAATTTAGGCACAAAATAGGAAGAATTGTTGACATAATTGAGCCAATATATAACAAGGTCACAGTGACCTACTTGTCAACTATGTGCTACTCTTTTCGGCCATTTTTAGCTCACCTACATCAAAATGATGAAGAAACTTTAGAAAAAATAACATGTATTCTTGTCACAAAGCGTCCATTTGTAATTTTGATCCCCCACTCTACCCCCTCATATCTTGGAATGGTCTCCAAGCTGACCTTAATTTCATGTCATATCATGATGGCATAACCCCAAGGTATGTATATACGAAAAATAAAACTTATGGGTGATAGCCACCAGAAGGCCCAAATTGGCACCCCTCCTTTCATTCATGTTTAAAATGTTTATGTATCTTAAAAGTATAAAGTTAGTTGTGAGCATGATAGTTTGTATGACTTTTAGATGGTTTACAATCCAGGTATGACCTTCAAACTGTGTGTAATCTTGACCTTGTTTATGATATAAATAATAAACTATATTGACCTTGTTTATGATATAAATAGTAAACTATTAAATAGTAAACTATATTGACCTTGTTTATGATATAAACAATAAACTACAGTCGAACCTCGTTATCTCGAAGTCGACGGGATCGTTGGGAAACTTCGAGTTATCCGAGTATTCGAGTTAAGCGAGTTCCTATGTTTGGCATAAAACTTGGTGAAGTGCTAGGTGCAATTTGAGGCTATATATGTCATTGATTTCTCTGACAATCAACGTATTTAAACATTCGATAAATGACAAAAAAGATAACTATATAAAATAAAAAATAACAACTTATTCATAATCATATTAATTAATTAATGTTATAATAAACACACATGCTGTCTCCGACCTCGTGCTATGCTGATAGATACTTCAATGCGGAAATGCAAGTGCGCAAGTCTTTATACAAATCACTGTATTGGAGCGTACACGTTGATTTCGACATTCCGAAATGGGTTTGAGTTAATCATGAAACACATCCACATTTATAGACCTAAATAACACTTGACATCTCCTCCACACGACGTACTCAACAATAATTATCGTATTGTTACTATAATCTCTCAATTAATTATCAGTGCCATACAAGCTCCTGTAAAAACATAAACCAACGAACCAGTCCTAGGTTGTGATTTTTACTGTGGAGCTTATTTACGCATGACCGCACACTGTGACCCATTTTCCGGTTAGAATGTGTCGGCAGCTTTGGTGTAAATAAAGTGCTATTCAAATTGTTTACAGGCTCGCAGTGAGTACTAATTGTTGTTAATCAACATTGATTAAGTTTGTTTCTTCAAACACATTTTAATGCCACAAGTTTAATCGAGGTAATTATGACCGAGGGTAAGCTGCTCTATGAGAACGATGTTTACCGTAGCACTGCGTCTAATATGTATCAAATATTTAAAGAATATATGAAAGACTTGTGAATCTTAAGAAACTTCGAGGTAGGAGATATTTTTATGTAGGATTTACGTTGTTGGGACCGATATTTCACTTCGGGATATCCAAGTTTTTCGAGTTTTCAGAGTTCGAATTATCATAGTTTTTATTACTAAGATTAAGAAGAGTTTTGGCCGGGACCGATGAAATACTTCGAGTTAAACGGGGTCTTCGAGTTATATGAGTTCGAGATAACGAGGTTCGACTGTATATTGACCTTGTTTATGATATAAATAGGAAACTATATTGACCTTGTTTATGATATAAATAGTAAACTATATTGACCTTGTTTATGGTATAAATAGTAAACTGTATTGACCTTGTTTATGATATCAATAGGAAACTATATTGACCTTGTTTACGATATAAATAGTAAACTATATTAACCTTGTTTATGGTATAAATAGTAAACTATATTGCCCTTGTTTATGATATAAACAGTTAACTATATTGACCTTGTTTACGATATAAATAGTAAACTATATTGCCCTTGTTTATGATATAAACAGTTAACTATATTGACCTTGTTTACGATATAAATAGTAAACTATATTGACAATGTTTATGATATAAATAGTAAACTATATTGCCCTTGTTTATGATATAAACAGTTAACTATATTGACCTTGTTTATGGTGTAAATAGTAAACTATATTGCCCTTGTTTACGGTATAAATAGTAAACTGTATTGACCTTGTTTATGGTGTAAATAGTAAACTATATTGACCTTGTTTACGGTATAAATAGTAAACTATATTGAACTTGTTTATGGTATAAATAGTAAACTGTATTGACCTTGTTTATGGTATAAATAGTAAACTATATTAACCTTGTTTATGGTATAAATAGGAAACTATATCGACCTTGTTTATGATATAAACAGTTAACTATATTGACCTTGTTTATGGTATAAATAGTAAACTATATTGACCTTGTTTATGGTTGGCAGGTTATGAGGAATCTCCATGTGGTGTTCACCATGAATCCATCAGCAGAAGGTCTGAAGGACAAGTCAGCTACCTCCCCTGCTCTCTTCAACAGGTAGCTTTTCTTTCTATGTAACAAGGAGTTAATCTGTTAAGAGACAGCTTCCACTTAAACTTCTTAAAGATAATGTATTTATTGTAACTTGTTTTAAGTAAGCTAGATGCCAGTGATTCCTTATTTAATCAGCATCCTTTGTTACCTGCCGGAATATAAAATGGCTGCATTACTTGTATTATAAGATAGAAGGAAACAAAAAACGAGAAATCTGTCGTAGAAACACCTGAATACATGGACATCTGGGTTAGTGGTGGCTGAATAGTGGCACAACTTGATAAGTGCAAGCTGAATAACCACACAACTAGGTTATGGTGGCTTGATGGTGACAAACCTCCATTCAAGGTGGCTGATTAGTGCCACAGTGGGGCTAGTGGTGAAGAACAAAGTATGGCTGTCACTACACCTATTTTATCAGTGTTATGCCATTCTTTACATTCCAGGTGTGTTTTGAATTGGTTTGGAGATTGGTCCAATGGAGCTTTGTTCCATGTGGGGAAAGAGTTTACCAACAAGATTGACTTGGAGNTAATGTAAGTGTATACTAGAAAGATAAGTCTAATGTAAGTATATACTAGAAAGATAAATCTAATGTAAGTATATGCTAGAATTATTTCACTGTATAAATATTAGATGCTACTAAATGAAAGCCGATAAACAAGTTGATGTTGCCATGTCTGATTGATACACTGTAATGTTGTAGTACATTCCCCCTGACTACCTGCCTGCTGCCTATGAGGGTCTGTCTGCAAGGCCGTCCCACAGAGAGGTTGTTACCAACGCCTTCGTCCACGTCCACCAGTCGCTGCACCAAGCCAACACCCGTGTAGCCAAGCGAGGCGGGCGCTGTATGGCAATCACACCCAGACACTACCTTGACTTCATTAACCACTTCGTACGTGTGACACTATCTCTGTACTCTGGTGCAACCACTGTCTTGAAAGCATGTGGCTTTTGAGGTGACTTCTTACCATATTGACATGTACAAGAATAAGGGACTTGTCTGTTAACAGCATTTTTCAAGTATGGTCACTAAATTGCATAGAATGTTACAAAGAAATTAAATAACAGTAATTTTAGTTGAACAATAAATGTCTGCTTGTAGGTTTTAATTGCAGTTTAATGACTTGTCTGACTGCTTCGTGGTGTATTGTTCTCCTATGTATTACAGGCTAAACTGTACAATGAGAAACGATCCGACCTAGAGGAGCAGCAACTTCATCTGAACATCGGTCTACAGAAAATCCGAGAGACAGTCGACCAGGTGGAAGAGCTGCAGAAATCTCTCTCAGTCAAACGTATTGAGCTAGAGGAGAAAAACGCTGCAGCTAATGCCAAACTCAAACAAATGGTAAATAAACTTCCAGGCTTCACTAGTGATGCTTCAAAAAATGACCAGGGAGATAAAAACTGATCTCTGATAGACCCTAGTATTTTGAGATCGTTAAACTAAAAAATCCTGAAGTATTTACATTATCCTAGTCCTACTTAATTTTCCGTAAATATTGAGTTGGAATTCTTATTCTTTAAACATGAATGACCAACATTGCTATTTTTATCCATCAGAGACTTGGTAAGATTACATTATTCAATTATTGAAACATAGGTCAAAGATCAGCAGGAAGCAGAGAGAAAAAAAATGACATCGCAGGAAATCCAGGTGGCACTTATTGAGCAGACGAAGATAATTGGAGAGAAATCAGCAAGCGTAAAAGCTGATTTAGCTGGGGTAGAGCCAGCCGTTATAGAGGCACAGCAAGGTAGGGATTGTTGTCGGACTCCTGTCTCAAGCTACACCCAATACTGTTGATGGAGACATCACAAGAATAAAACTTAGAAAACTTATTGAACAAAATCAGCCGACAATGTATATTCATATATATGTCCAAGGGTGTTTAGTTATACTGCATCAAAGATATATTTGTATATCTCATCTTTTTTTCAAAACAAGATGTGAGTTCACTTACATCAATTACATCACATTAACTGCTACAAGTGTTACCACATTTGGTCAGTAATTTAATAAAACTGTATTTTCCTTATATATTTTTTGTAAGTATTTATGAGTATAAGTTGATATGTATGAATAATTAGTTAATGTAGGTAAGATTCCTTTCTGATAACACTTCCTCTAATGTATTGCTCAGTTAATGTTGTGTATCCATTCTTGCTCCTGGGAACATAAACCAGTGTTATCACAAATATAGAAGCTGGGGAACATCTACAAAGGGAGAGTTGTCAAATCTAGATAAACGCTTTCTTAATGTTCGCCCCAATTTGTACGAGGTTTGACCTCTGGTTAATCTGGTCAGTAATAGAAAGATTTACTGTGTCAAGGCTTGACCTCGAGTAGACCAGCTGGTCAGTGAAAGATGGCCTAACTATGGTGACCTCCAGCTGTCCTAGTGTTTGATAGATGGACTAACTATGGTGACCTCCTGCTGTCCTAGTGTTTGATAGATGGACAGCTGAGGATGTAGAAGATAGATGTAGTAAACTGTACTATTGTTGTGTAGATATCCGCTTATCTTCAGTTTATTATCTTTTCAGTTCATTCACTTCTAGTGTTAGATTAATATTCATAGACACTTCATATTGTGAAATTGTGTCACCGTTATTTAACAATTACACAAAAGGGTAAATCCATGGTATTTATAACCATTTGAATTATATCTAAAATTAACAATGAGGTCAAGAATTTGAGTTGTTGACAGTATGAAAAGCACATGCACAAATCACACATGTACAAATCCCATGTCACAACACCTGGGTGGAAGATCACCTCTTTATACAAAGTCAATAAAACCGATGTAATTGGTATTATATTAAATACAATATAGGATGGAAGGAATGCTAATTAGGAAAGTTCTCATTTCAATGCTTTCAGACGTGTATATCTATTTTTGCTTACAACCTATTACAGGTGTCATTGTTGTAACTTTGTGGTTTTATACAAATGGATTGACAGAGATGGGAGACAACCAAGGCATATATACTAGCTCTTGATCATACACAAATAAGTCAATTTTGATTCTATAAATACATAAGCTTCACATTCAGTGAATTCTATGCAAAAGTAACAATACACAAAATGAAGGCTGTATGATGTGTATTGTTATTGGTTAAGTAATGCTGTTTTGGTTATCTCCCTTGTAAAGTTTCTTTTTTTTGCATCTGACAGGTATTTCTGTATAAATTGCTTAGAGAAAATAATTATAAGCATGGTAAATGTTAGCCAATCCTACAGTGACCATACTTTCATTTCCAGAGATTATCTCACAGTCCAAACGACTTATCTTTTGCAAATTTGACATGGTGATACATTGTGATATGTAGTTGTGTATTTAAGATTTCAAAAGGTCAAGGTCACTGTTACAGTTTCTTGTTTGTTCTTACTTTGATCGATCTTGAGGACAATTCTGCATTTAGCTTAAAGTTTTCTTTTTTTTTTGCATCATTAACGATTGTGATTAAAGTTTTCCTATAATTGAGGAATATGCTTGTACTTGATTGTATAATGTATCATTGCTGTTCTAGATGTGTACATACAAGAGCATCATGCTCCTGCTATATTTTGAACATTTGTTCCACCTCTAGTAGACTGATAGAACAATTTCTGATGGAGTATTATAAGGTTAGTGTAAATCTGTGTCCTGTACAAACATTTCCCATGTGTGTACAGTACACTGTGTGTTGTACAGGGTGCTGTGTATGTGTGTTAGGCCGTTGTGCTATTTTATTATGTCACATTACCATGTACTGTTGTATTATATATCATTTGTGTTTTTAAGCATGCTCAATATATTTTGTTTATTTTGTTATGTTTTTGTTTTGTGTTTTGCTCTCTTCAGCTGTCAAATCTATCAAGAAACAGCATCTTGTGGAGGTCAAGTCCCTCCCTAATCCTCCCTTTGCTGTCAAAATGGCCATCGAGTCCATCTGTACCTTGCTCGGAGAACAGGATCTTGACTGGAAGTCACTGAGAGGCATCATTATGAGAGAAAATTTCATTTCCACCATTGTCAACTTCGACACTCTTGCTATTCCGTGAGTTTGTAGGGACCAGTGTAAGAAGTATAAGGTGTATTGTCACTCAGACAATTACTGGGGTTATCTGTTAGGGGTTGTCTGCCTCATGTATCCAGAAAATGCCAACCATACAAAATCTGTCAAATTGGTTCAGGTTAAAACACAGTTTGGTCTCATATCTAGAAATCATTTGTGGTAAATAAATGATATTTAAGGAAAAACTAACCCAAAATTTGATCAGCGCTTATGTAATGAAATGACGGACATGGAGTTGTGGTTGGCCTTTCTGCATACTGTTGGTAGAACCAGTGAGTTTGATGCTCTGTGACCTGTACGTTTCTCTCTCCTTGCCTTCCCTCCAAAGCTGTGAAGGGAATAAAAAAGAAGGACCTAGTGGAGATCAGGACCATGTCAAACCCCCCACCTCCTGTCAAGTTAGCTCTGGAGGCTATCTGTCTCCTCATCGGGGAAAGCGCCTCTGACTGGCGTACCATCAGAACTGCAATTGTCAAAGACAACTTCATCTCCAACATTGTTAAAATGCATAGTGAGGACATCAAGTAAGTAGGTCAAGTTCATCCTGTGTGCCTAGGTAAGTGGACTACCCTCCAATCCTTTGTACCTACCTAATCTGATGAGAGGTCACACAGGTTATCTAGAGGTTGTTTTAATTAGGTCAAGTTCATCCTGTGTGCCTAGGTAAGTGGACTACCCTCCAATCCTTTGTACCTACCTAATCTGATGAGAGGTCACACAGGTTAT